AACTGTCAAAATTACTGCACACGCGAGTTGCATAAAGCAAAATTTATTTAATGCAAAACGACGGTAATATGATCTATTAGCAATTTGATTTCAATTTCGAGGGGCCTAAAATCTTTTATACTTAAGAATTGCAAAGTGATTTCTGAGGAAATTCCGAGGTTGCGTTTTCTTTATACACCCTGTATGGTTAATAGATAGAGAGTGTTGAACATGATATCTCACAAGTGAGCGCAGCAAACAAGTGAGATATCATGTTCAACACGAGAAATAAATCTGGTATTTCCAAGCACCCGTGTACAAGGGCGTCAATCTATCCCAAAAAGTGTGGGGGGGGGACGGACTCCAAATTATGAAGGTCCGGAGGCATGCTACCCGATTTTTTTTTTAATTTTGGTACACTGAAACGGCATTCCCAGCGTTTTGGAGGCACTTATAAAGTTATATTACAATGTGCATGATCTTAAATCCACGTGAGAATGTTAACCATGTGAGAAATACTCTAGAAACCAACATGTCCTAGCCTGTAAACAGACGTTACTCTCGATGAACATGTCCTCACTCTTATTTTATAATGCTAATAATCTATTAAATTAACCATTTGCCTTATTTTGATGATAATCATCTATGTAAGGGAAACTCAGTTATTAATCAATATTTATTAGCACCTGGAAATTTACATATAACTTCTCTTCAGTGGCGGACACTTTACGAAATATTGGGGGGAAAGCTCGTGCCAAAGGGCACGGAAAAATTTTTAAATTTGGATCCCGGAAATGGCATTTGCAGCATTCTGAGAACACATTTTGTAAAAAAGTAGGTTTTCAAAACACTGTTTTAATGGTCGGCATTAATTCAGTTATAAATCACATGCAAAGCATAGAAAAACAACATTTCAGAGAAAATATTTACATGATTATTACCATTTCTGAATGGAATTGCATGTAAAAATTTATTCGCTAAGTGAGTGAAATCTATTCGCTGCGCACGCTTTTGTTTTTGTTAACCTAATTAAAATTGGAATGTTAATTGAATTATCCGTTGTTTTTGAGCATAATAGTTTAATACGCATTCAAATATTATTGCGCAGCAGGAAATTTTGCTGCTAAAGACTAGTATAAGCTTCAAAAACAACAAAAAATCGACAATGACATTTAAAGAAGTGCCTGTTGCAAAAAGTTGACCTCCTAGTATCCGTCAAAAAGAATGTATAAAATGCGTATGTTGTGTCAGTTACAGTACAGAAACGTATATTATTATACTGTTTGGTATATTATTATATTGTTTGGTATATTGCTTACTGCTTTAGCTTAAGTTTTATCTAATAGTTATTATTTAATATGACAATTACGTTATATGAGTGTGATTTGTGTTATTTGGTACAAGATTTTTACAGTCTTTTAAAATTATCCGGGGGGCTCGGGCCACCCATCGCCCCCTCCCCTAGTGTCCGCCACTGCTTCTCTTCATTAAATATTAAATAATATGAAGGTGCAAGCTAACTGTAATAACCTTGTAGGGTTAGACGAGACAGTTAAGACGCAATTATTTTTAAATATTTACAATTTTACATATAAGATATCAGTACTTGCTCCGAGCGGCTACAGAAAGATCATACGTTGTACTTCTTATTAAATGTCTTCCATTCAATCACAATTTTTGAAGAACAGCACTGACCATGCATTAGGTTTTTAGATAACCAAGAAACAAAATTTCATTAAACATGTCAAAAAGTGGGGGGGGGGGGATAATTAGATACTCGTCCCCCCTACTCCAAAAACTGGGGGGACATGTCCCCCCCCCATCCCCCAAGGATTGACGCCCATGCCCATGTATTTTTCTGGTTATTATATAAAGGGCAACAATTTTGCCAGGGAATGTCCGACTGGCTATCCCTGTGATGCTGTCCACTGTTCACCCAGTGTTCTTTTAAGCGAATGTGCTAGCTGCTCAAAAATGCAAAATCTTTCAAGCCTGTGGATACAATACTGAAGTGAAAAGCTTCAGTAGATTTACATGCAAGAATATTTTTTTGAGCGCTCTCTTTTGCATGATTTTTTTTTCTCGATTGTATGCTGCATGATTTTTTCTTTCTTTCTCCTTGGGTTCCAGGAATATTTTTTTTGAAATCTTCCAACCCACTCCCCCCCCCCCCAAAGTCAAATTATCCGCCCCTTAGTTACAATGCTTGTGGTATATCGTATCTGCATGTATGACAAAATGTGTCACTTCGCCGCCATTATTTGCCTGCACTGTAGACGGACATATACGCTTCTTTGGAAAATTGGAAATAAAAATCTGTTCCATTTTTTAACGTACTTTTTATTAAAAAATTTACTGGTCACGTATGTCCGCCAGGCGACAAGATTTGCCGGTCAAACTGTGACTTTTTACCGGTCAGTGACTGGCACTTATTTCGAGGCCTTGGCAGAACACAAATATATGAATATACCCCCCACCCCCACCCGACCCCAATTATCGTGCTAGGAATGGCCCTGCCTTCACCATACTACCATTGCCACCATCGCCACCGCTGGTCTCACTATCTCAACTGCTACTGCTGCATATATTGTACTTGTACTATCCTGCAAATTTTATTTTTTTAGAGCAATATTATTAATATCAAAACCACCATTATATATCACAAATATTATTGGCTTGCTACCACCGCCACCATCGCCACCTTCGCCTCACTACCTCAACTGCTACTGCTGCATATATATTGTACTATCCTGCAAATTTTATTTTTTTAGAGCAATATTACTAATATTAAAACAACCATTATATATCACAAATATTATTGGCTTGCTACCACCGCCACCTTCGCCACCACTGCCACCACCGCCTCACTACCTCAACTGCTACTGCTGCATATATATTGTACTATCCTGCAAATTTTATTTTTTAGAGCAATATTATTGATATTAAAACAACCATCATATATCACAAATATTATTATATATACATACATACATACATATATATTATATATACATACATACATACATACATATCTTGTACTAGCCTTCCATTTGTACTGAATCTTTATAATAGAGTAATAACCTTTATAAATCAGCAATATCAATGCATTGCTAGGTCGACCATAGCTTCCACTTGCATTAAACTCATAAGTCCCAAATGCAATATGTCCCAGAGTGTATTAAATGTAATTATGTTGATATCAAACTGTATGACGATTCGTTTTCACTATTATTGTACCATTTTTAGTAATAAATTAATATTTAATGTGTTAATTAAGTTAATGTTTGAATAAGCTTATATCAGAAATCAATATGATTGGCCGACCACCACGACCACCACATTACACCTATGAACCAATCAGCAACAACCTTTGAAACAGTGCGACCTCACTCGTTCATACTGCTTGGCGCATTCGCTGCGTTATATTCATTTATATATACTGTACACAGATTTATTACTAATAAATCAACACTATATGATAATATATAGAACTCACAAAGTGCATAAATAAACCTTTTTAAAGCATGTCATTGTAGACCAGAGGCAAAAACCAAAAAGCATTGTCAACCACATACCAAATTTAAGCAATCGTGAAATAAGAATATGGAAATAATGTTGAATGAAAGCATCGCGTATAATCTTAAAAGCACCGCGTATAATGCTTGAACCACTGCGTATAATTGCGAAACCACCGCGTATATTAAAATGTGAAAGCACCGCGTATAATGGTAAAAGCACCCGGTATGATGGCGAAAGCACCGCGTATAATCAGCTCCAACCACCGCGTATATTGGCGAAAGCACCGCATATAATGCCAAAACCACCGCCGTAATGCCGTATAATGCTAAAAGCACCCAACAAAATGGTATTTGATCACTTTAAGCCAGCTATGGCTTTCCATAACAGAAGACCAAAGATGAAAGATGATCACATTGCCTATTTGCCTTATGCCTGACCGCACTGCACCACGGTTAAAATTCACTGGTACCGTCATGCAATGCGCCAAATAGAAAATTTTGATTTCGACCCAATCTCTTTCGACCCACAAAACAAAATTAGGATCAGCAATGAGCGGAGTACTCGATCCAAATGTACTGATTTTCGTGCAAAAACAATCTCGTTACCCGAGCCTGCGATACTCGGGAAGGAACGCGAGGCTCTGGGATAATCCGTTTCAGGGAGGAATCTGATTGGCCGTTGAAATGGAATGCGTAGTTCAATCTTAGCCACAATTCCTGGCTTCCGGCAACGGATTATCCCAGAGCCTCCCGTCCCTTCCCGAGGATCGCAGGCTCGGGGAACGAGATTGGTGCAAAAATCGCCGGTGTTTCCCAGAGCCTTAGCAAGCCTCCACAGACAGAGGATTGCGGGCTCTGGTTTCGAGATTGGATCAAACCATAACCCATTCTCGTACCCAGAGCCCTTCTTACGCGCGGTGCGACGAGGGGCTCTGGCCAAATCCATATTTGGAAGTGGCATCTGATTGGCTACTTATAACACAGGATATTGTTTTCTTACCATGTTTTTACGGTATCCGGTTATGGATTTGGCCAGAGCCCCTCGTCGCACCGCGCGTAAGAAGGGCCCTGGGTACGAGAATGACCATAACCTGAAATTCAACCTCGTCCCCAGGGTCTTCCTCGAACCCTGGGGACGAGGTTGCCTGACATTCATGCCCTATTAATCTAATTAGGGCCTAAATTTTTAATCAAGCCGGGAAATTTGTTGCGCATGCGCCATATTAACCAAAATTTCCATTGAAACCCGAAGATTTTCCGAAGAATTTAAAAGTTTTGTCCAGTGCCAATAATCGTGAACTATCCCGCTGCTTGCCAAATCGATACTTATCGCTGATATTTTCAAATATATCAGCACATTCTTTCGGAGAAAGTACATTACCAAGTTCAAGCAGAAATTGTTCATTGTTTAAGATTGTTAACTGTGTTCTTGCCCTAAATTTGACAGGTGCCGCAATATAGCCTGCGGGCTGAGTGCGTGCTAACACGCGCGTCGAAATGAACCGTAGAGAAAATAATATATTTCATATGTAATGTTATTAGCAAATAGCAATTACATAAAATACATCACTTCAATAAGACCTGTGTAGGTAGTGCCAAAAGTATTAACAAGCTTTCGTTGGTAGGGATGTAACAACCTGAAAAATATGAAATTCTCCTTATATTTTTCAAGTAGTTGCATCCCTACCAACAAAAGCTTGTGAGAGAAAATAGCCTGGGTACGAGGTTGGGCCAGTCCCAGTCTTTTCACGCATGCGAAGAGCGCTCAATCAGTCAATCATGATGACAGAAACACGCGTGTCTGGAGGTCAAATTTGGCTTCAAGAAAAAGATAGGCAGTTTATACGAAGGTCGCGTTCCAGTTATATTCATTTCAATTAACGATCCGAATTGACCATTTGCGTAATAGACTAAATTTTGATCTCAACAAAAATTTTATTACAGCTGGAAAGAGCATCACAAAATTAGTAATATTCCAAAGTTTCGTTGCAAAATGTTGTAAAATGCGGAAAATATAGCCTTGCGAAATTTGCAATTTTCAGTCATTTTAGATTACAAACCGGAAATTGACAGCCTCGAAGGGTTTGGGGCTGTCAATTTCCCGTTTGTACTCCAAAATGACTGAAAATTGCAAATTTCGCAAGGCTATATTTTCCGCATTTTACAACATTTTGCAACGAAACTTTGGAATATTACTAATTTTGTGATGCTCCTTCAAGCTGTGATGAAATTTTTGTGTAGACTTGTTTAGTTCAAAATTTAGTCTATTGCGCAAATGGTCAATTAGCTTTTCACGGCCGATTTGTCCCCGCGCCATTTTGGGGGTACTGCATTGAAGTTGTTTGTATAATGGTAAATTTACAGTTACAACTTTTAAAAGTCGCTATTCACGTTGTTTGAATTGTCTAGAATCTTTCACGACGGCAGACAGTACGTATACTCCAAAAATGGCGGATTTTGGCCTTCGTAAGAAAGGCTAATTGTGTCACACGCTTCACTGCGCATGAGCGACCTTCTGACAAGTGTCATGCACAATCGTAATAAGGAAATAGATAGAAAAAATTCTTTAAAAAAAAATTTGGTCAATGTGCTATTTTACTTAAAATTTTAGAGGAGTAGACTGGGCGTTCTTAGCAACCAATGGGCTTATGTACACCTTGATAGAGCCCAGAGTTTGTTCAATCATTATCTTCTCATATAGAAACACTGGACCAAGCAATAAGGGAACTCTCAGCGGATTTCTAGGATGAACAGCTTAGAACTGATAGAAATATTCAGCAAAATATAGATTAAAGTTAATTTAGGTTTCTTTCTGCAGCAACACTGAAAAATAAGGGGTGGCCTTTACTGGTACACTGAAAAATAAGGAGTGGCCTTTACTGGATCTCTATACAAAGCGGAAATGACGTGTTATCTTCATGCATACATAAACGCGAGCCAGGCTAATTTCCGTGACGAGAACAATAGTCAATACTCGTACACTTGGCAAAAATAACAAACAAGTCCGTTCAAGGAAATATTGGTCACCGGGTGAAAATAGTCTACTTCCATTTTTAAACTGTTTTTTACTGCATTTCTAACAATTTGTGAACTGTTTAGAATAAGGAATTATATCATTTTCTAACTTTTCTCTGTTCGTTTTGGCTACACGCCCATGAAATTTCACAGGATGTATAAAATTAATATCATAATCATAATTTTTCCAAACTAGTTTTCCATCAGCAAAATCAATTGATCCATACATGTCCGGCAGATACAATCCATAATGCTTTTCCCACGAATCTCGTATGTCTAGGAAACTCATAATGGTCGGCACTGCAACTTCCAAAAACACTCGATTTTTATGAAATACAAAAGAAAGTCGTTGAAACTGATCACTGAACTTCTTGGGTATATAAAATAAGTCTGACCACATGCGAAAACAACGTTTCTCTCCTTCGCCATTAACAAGATGTGTATTTATCAATTTTGTGATATTGATATGTTCACTTGAGCGATATTTATGCGTGATTTCTAAGTAAGAGTCTTCACAAGCCTCTGCAGATTTAGACTTCTTTCTCCACCAAGGCCAGGTGTCTGGTATTGGTCGACTTCCCATGACATGGTCGTCATTTGAAAAAATAATCCCACCTTGCCAAAGTTTCTCCTTATCAAGATTGGTGAAAGTCCACCAGTTGACAACCATGTCATCGTTTACATACAAGTAACCACGGTAACCAGGATACCTACAAATACAACTACAATTTACCAGCATCACTATATATCGCTACATGTCCACCCAATACATCAAACTCTTTGAGAGTAATACACGTTTTGGCGGCCTCCCAATAAACTTCATTTATATAAAGCTTCAATTAAAAAAATAATAGATTTTATTAAACTTCAATAAATAAATAAATAAATACATAGTACGTTTCGGGGCACTGCCCCTTCGTCAGAAACGAAATGCCCTTAAATACTTTTAAGTATTTAAGTAAAATTACGTATTTAAGTAAAATTACGGCCCAATCCTAATTTACATACACTAATATAAATAGACTTGTCTTAATATTCCTCCCTCAAATTTAATCCCAGTGGTACATATGTATAATTCAATTTTTCAATCCAAAAACTTTCCCTTTCTGTAGGTTTATTAACATCCGTAACATCAATAATTTGTGATTTAAAATCATTAAGACCCGATGGCCCTCCTCAAAAAAATGTTCATACAAATGTTGACCACATAAACCTCTTTGGCCCTTAGAAAATCTGTTAAGCGAACTCTTGTGGTCACAAGAGATTGTAACTTAACAGATTTTCTAAGGGCCAAAGAGGTTTATGTGGTGAACATTTGTATGAACATTTTTTTGAGGAAGGCCATCGGGTCTTAATGATTTTAAAGCACAAATTATTGATGTTACGGATGTTAATAAACCTACAGAAAGGGAAAGTTTTTGGATTGAAAAACTATATACCGTATATAGTTTTGCGTTTTATCTCAAAAAACAGTCTGTTTTCATCCGTATAGTCTCAAAAAACCACAACAGTCTGTTTCATTCCTATACGGATGAAACAGACTGTTGTGGTTTTTTGAGGTAAAACGAAAAACTACAGGGTGTATCAAAATAAACGCAATTCATCTTTTGTGCTTAATAACTTTCGAAATACTATTTCAAAGCCTGTTCTTTTCTCTTTCAAATAAACTATTATCCTTGTCTCCAATGCTAGTAATAATTGCACAGGAAAAGATTTAGTAAAACCTATCATTTTTAGTTGCTGTTTAATTATGCAAGTTTACTATGTTATTGTTTAGTCGGTTTAAATGTTAGAATTTTCTTCTTTAAACTTTAATGTTGTCGTCACTACATCTGAAAAACCACGTAAGAACAAATTAAAAGTATTTTAAAAGAGACCAGGTTGTTTGAAAATCCTAAACGAATGCTAAAAATCGTCAAAACATTCTGGTGTCTGAGCTAGAGTGTCATCGAATTGCGATGTAATGTAAACAGAAATTATAGCAAGTTGATGTCAGTCAGCTTAGATGGTCCAAGCCAAAATTATATCGCATTCGAAGTTTCAAACTGAGTTAAAAATAGTGGAAGAAAAGCCGTAATTATACTTATTGTTACAATCCATTTAATAAAATGCAACATTTGTTTGTTTTAATGAAAAAATCAGTTATTTTCATGAGAACGATTTGTTATTCCATCTCAATTTTTTTAATCTCCAATCGCAATAACGTAAAGTATTATTACCCGCGAACCAATGAGTCAAATTTAAGAAACAACCCACTGTTAGAAAGCTGAATGGCTACGCTTTAAAATGAATGTAAACTTTAACGTTTTCGTCTATTATTTGTTTAGCAATTTACATTTCAGTCGAGGATTGCGCTTTTTTTGATACACCCTGTATATTACGCTCTATCTATATGGTATTGAGCACTGTTTGTGTTTCGTAAACCAAAAACTTAAGATGTAGAACTTAAGCTATAGCCCTTCGATACCTAGGTTTCAGCCCTCCTAAAGTTTATAAATTTATATCTTCCTTACACCACTGTACGTACCTGCGTATAGCGTTACCAACACATTCATAACCATACAATCCTGGACCAACATCAACCACCATTACATAGTGGCGAAAATAGGACTCTGGGCCACAAATCAAAATATCTTTAAACACATCCCCGTAAAATGACTTAAGTAAAGGAATGGAGTCGTAAAATGGGAAATGAAAAACAATAATTAGTAAGATATCTTCAAAGTAGTTCTTTAGACATTCACTAGAGATTGTGTCATCAGGATTATGGTAATTGCCATCACTCGGTGGCTTGAAAACTGGAGCTGATGGATATAAATAACCTACAAAAGTGTGAATGAAAAATATGATTTCATTCGTAGATACCATATTTGGGAAAATACGGTTAGCGTAGTAAGGGACCGATTACATAGAGCACTTTCATCCCCGGGGTTGAACTCAGCCCTGTTAACCGGGTTGAAATTTTTTGCGATTACATGGACGATTTCAACCCCGGGATTGAAATGCTATACGTTCCCGGCATTGATTCCCGGAAGTAAAAAAAAGCGGCTCCACAGCCTCCGTTTTTGTTTTCTTGTAACAAATAGTCACTACCACGCATGCTCGAATAACTCATGAATAATTTCAGCCCTGGGTTGAAACGATTGCATGACAAAATTTTCAACCCAGGGCCGAGTTGAAATTTCAACACTGCTAGCTGAAGCAGGGTTGAAATTTCAATCCCGGGGATAAACTCGGCCCGGGCTTGAAAATTTTGTCATGTAATCGCGCGTTTGATTTTGATAGAGTCTTTTATTACAGACAGGGCTGAAATTTCAACCCGGTTAACAGGGCCGAGTTCAACCCCGGGGTTGAAAATGCTCCATGTAATCGGGCTCCAAGAACTACCCTTCGGAAGTCGTGCGTTATTTACATGAATTGAAATTGAGAACTATTTTCAAACAATTTAGTCCAAATTTGAATCTGAAATGAGGTTTTAGTCGCAGTCGTCAGAGCAGGTGCCTCTGAGATCGTGGATGATCATGGGTTCGGTCCCCTCTAAGATCATGGGTTCGGTCCCCTCTATGGACTCGTGTGAAGAGTCTGTCAACGCTCTGCCAAAAGTCGAGGGTTTTCTCTGGGAACTCTGGTTTTCTCCCAAAGGGAAAGTTGACAGTGCAGGTTAGTATAAACGATAGTTATAGGAACGTAATATTACAAACGTTGTAGTGTTGTGAAGATAAAATTGTCTACTAGACTAAGTGGGTAAAGGTAATATACCCAACCTCGTACCCAGGGTCTTTCCTCTTGGGGAGAAAAGACCCTGGTAGATGCTGGTCACGTGATCTGCTAAAATCTGGCAGATTTCTAATTAACTATCTTGAATTCCTTTACGACAATGACACAAAATGCAAATTATAAATTAAACTATAAAAATCATCCAAATATCAAATATTTATTGACCTCGTCTTGGATTGCTAAAAAGAAAAACCCTGGGTACGAGGTTTGTAATATACCCTGTAAAGGTGTGCAAATGCGAACCGAATCCGATTCGTTCGCATTTCGGAACAAAAATATTCACTTCGGATTGGATCGGACTGATATAAAAGTTGTTTCGTAGTCGGATCGGACTACGATATTCGAAATAAAATGAACTAATCAGTTATCCACGACAACGCGGTTGTCGCTGCATTATTCGTTTGATAATTCAATTGGACGTCACTTTGTCAACTTCTTGACATGTTTTTCTTGCTTTTATATTTATTTGGTTAAATATTTCCACTTGAATGAGAAATTTATTTTATTAAAGGTTCTTCGGATCGGAATTCTTTATCAAATCTCGGATCGGATTCAGATTAGACAATTTCGGATCGGATTTTAAACATTAGCCAATTGTCGGATTATAAACGTCCAATCCGATCCGACCTCTAATGCCCTGTAGGTAAGCGTGATATGTGATGTAATCGGTCACCGCATGAAAAGCCTTGACGGGGAGGGAACTGAAGAATTTACATATATGTATATATAAGTTTCTTGAGAAATATTTAGAAATCTCCACAGATCACTTCACTCTTACTAGTTTATGTGTGTAATTATAGCTCAGTGTGCATTTTGTGCACATAAATTCAAAGATCTCTGTATTGGAGTTCAGTTATTATGAGGTGATACTGTCATCCAAGGTGTGATCATCATTCATCAACATTTGTGGGCATGAGTGTGATACAAAGCATTTTTATGCCATCTTCTAATTCTTCTCACACAATCATGTACTGACACCTTAAAGAATATAAATTTTGTAGCCATATGATCAAATTCACAACAGGATTTCCAAAAGTTTGCATAGTAAAACATTAAGCCTAGCTATTAGATAGCTTAAGATCTACGACGTCGACGTCAGCTAAAACGTCAGGGCTATGCAGAGGACTGGGACTAGGATGTCGTCCTAACGTAGTCCCAGTCCTCTGCTTAGCCCTGACGTCCTAGCTGGCGTCGACGTCGTAGATCTTAAGCTATCTATTATAAATTTTGGTGTGTGTAAATATGGGCATTAGAAATAGAAGATGGCAAGCCTGTACAACAACAAGAATAATGATTGACTCTAACAACATTTTTTCAACACTTAATTAATAAAATATCTAGCTACTGTATGTTTGAAATTTTATGTTTAGTGAGCAATTTAATTTAGCAACTTAAAATTTATGAAGACTGGAAGTGAATCTTTTAAAAGTTCATATAATCAGAACATTATTATTTATTATATTCTGATATTTGAACATGTAATTGGCACATTACTGCACTGTGACATCAACAGTATACTCTCAAATTAAAGTATTTTGTTCTTGGCATGATGTGCATTGCATGATCATTCAATAAAAGTAAACGTTCACTGACCAAAATGACTTATTTATATCCATGATCTCAGTGGCGCAACCAGCGAAACAGAAGCGGGTGGGACTCATCCCTGCAGTCCCACTAGCTTTGAACCACTAGACTGTGGTCTTGATATATGATCCAGTGCAATCTCGTACCCAGAGTATGCCCGTTGGCAGGTTAGGTGCTGGCAGGTTAGATGCCCAGCACCTAACCTGCGAACAGGCATACTCTGGGTACGAGCCTGATCTCCGCCGCACGATACAAACTTTCCACACTGGGGTACGAGATTGGATCCAGCATGGATTGTAAAATAACATTTTATTTTATACAATTTATTTTATTATCCATGGATCGATCCAGTGTGGAAAGTTTGTACCATATGCAACCAAGATATCGGGCACACAATTTTGATGTTTTCTATATTTACTGTACTTTCTGAAATCTCGGGCCTCGGGTGCGCAATTTCCAAACTTTGCGTCAAAATTAAATAATATCTGTCTGTTGCACATAACACATGTACACAACACCAGAGACAACACGTACATACATGTCCTTCAGATGTCTAGCTGTTTAAGGCCTATTATCCTATATAAGTCCTGAAACCTTTTATAGACACGTCACCATTTTTTCTATGTACATAATTAAAGGCATATTAAAAATAACAAATTTAACCTTTAGAAGAATTACCTTCCAGTATGAAATGGAATGAAATGACAACTAATAATAGACAGCCAAATATGAGAAACAATATCTTATTGGACAGAAGTTTTACACCACCTTCGCATATCTTCATTCTATGACCCAGTATAATGTTGTGCTGCAAACATTTTATGCAACAACGCTTCAGAAAGAACATTTTCTTTGAGAGATATTTATGATTTTTGTCATTTTTGTTTCGACTCAATAGTCAATACCACAGAGTCAATACTGTTGAATGTTGACCTCGAAGGTAATACTTCATGTAAGCTGCCCCAATCAGTCCAAAGGACAAAATGTTAGTGTATTATAAAAGTTCGACTTCAGGAAAATAATGGTAGTATGGTACGTTCGCTTTTAGTTCTATTATCATTCAGTAATATCATTGCATTTAAATGTTTAACAATACTATAATGAATGTTTCTTCCTTTGAGTCTTTTAATGTATTACATTTACCAAATAAGTCAGACAATGAATCAAACATAATTGATATATTGATAATTGATCCATCATATATTTGGCATTTTACAGACTCACTGGGTCTGGGTAAAGTCTACACTCTGCAATTCAATGGGAGGGGTGGCTTTGGGGGGTGGGGCGGCGGTTACTGCATGCCCTCAATCATTCTCATGTCGGACAGATTCCACTTGAAATCATGCAACCAATTCTACTTTTAATAAATGAAGCATCACTCAGCAGTCTAAAAAGGAAGAAGTATATAATCATTATTGTCATATATGTGCCAGCTATGGTGGATTCCATGTAAACTCTATGCCAAAGATATGCCAATATTAACTGTAGATATAGTATTGTAATTTGCCAAACTTAAGCCAAAGATCTTCGGTGTAAATATTGCACTTAAAATGCGTCAAAGGTATATGTTAATGTGATGTCTCAAAAATTTTTTGCCAACGGTGACCTCCCCTCCCCCTTCCCCCCTCGACAGAAATTATATGACGCAATTTTTTTTGCGTTTGTCAGGCAATTTTCATCAACGTCATGCAAATTTTTGGCCGCCCCATAATTTTTTCCTCCTGTATGCCCAGCCTCGTCCCCAGACTCCAACTGTCTCACGCCTCACCCACGCGTCTTTGTGGGATTTCGCAGCCAGACACAGGGCTCTGTCATCATGCATGTTCTTCACATGACTGCATGCATAATTAAAAGCGCCTGGGGACGAGGCTGCCATATGCCTATTGTAGCCAGAGTGCACATGCGGGGACTGCCTCCTTGATGAAATTGTTGACACCCTTTCAGACTGAGTTCAAGAATACAGGGATTACACTAATTCATTTATTGTAATGTTAATTTTTATCTTGCTGCCATTAATGTTGTGGCTTCTGTTTTATATTTAGCCATCTACTGTTAAATGGTCACGGCTCTATATATTAATACACACAAAATCCCTTACAATAATTATTAAAACAAAATATGTTATGCTCTATGAACAAACTCACTTGAATATTAGAGAAAGCACTTATATGACCTGACATGGTGACTTGCTTATGCCACCGCCGGCCATCGATCAGATCTTGTGCCATTGTATGTGTTTTACACAATTCACATGTATGTCAATTCCTTACATCATTAGAAATGCCAATTTTTGAAAACAGTGTGTTATATCTCATTATTTTGTGCTGTGACCTATGGCTATGTTGAAATTTTGCACACTGTATTGTACTGCAAAAGTTTTCAAATATACCAAAAATAACAATGCCAATTTTGTTAAAATAACAAAATTGGCATTACAGAATGTTTTTATAATTTGCTTATTCAATTGTTAGTCTATGCACATGCTTCTTTTCCAACTACACATAGCAAACTAGTAAATAGACTATTTTAGAGTGAATTTTGAAAACGTGTGTTGCCTATGTGCTACCAAAGGGGGTGGGGGACAATGTATGATGTCACAACATATTAGCGAGCTTAAGCAAACAACGTTTTTGTCAATACAGATGTCACCCAAAAATTGGTATATAAATAATTTTGGCAGCAGTTTACAAACTGACACAAACACACTTTAATCCAGTCCCCCCTTGACAATCTTACGTCTGTGCAAACTCATAAAAGAAAGTGATTTAGAATGATCATAACTTAGCATTACACTTTTTCGTAATTTCTTCATTATATTAATTTAAACATTAAAAATGCATGTACGCATGAAATTCTAATCAATGTGTTCAAAGTCACAGATATGGAAAGGATTTTCGTGACAGCAATTCCGCTAAGGCTACTGCGGTCTGCATATGCAGGAAAATTGCACCATTGTGAGTGAAAGATCTAATGTCAGTGACATTCTTAGATTTGCAACCTTAGAGCAAGAATTTTCATTTATCGTGAGAATTGAGTGCGAAATCTTGCGACCGTGATATTATGGTCAAAATTGTGAACCTCACAGAAACACCGTGAAACTTGGCAAGTCTGAGAGTTAGTATACTAAAGTTGGAAAATTACACTACTCAAGAGCTGGGAAATTTTGTTGAGCCTGTCTTCTTGTTCATTGCAAATGGATAAGTAATACAGATTTTGTATAATTATTGGTAATAAAATGCCTCTGAAATACAGGAATATAAAGTCTAAAGAGTGTGCGGCTTTATCTGGTGTAAAAGCTGTAAAGTGCATGCTTTAGATATTTAACGGTCGCGACGGACGTGCAATTTCCATTGTCTGCCCCATTAATTGTGATGAACCTAACTGGTTGCTTTTTGTATCACTTCACACATTTTTACTTTATAGCACCATGATTGAGTTTGATGCTTTCAGAGAACCAATTATGAATTGAATGGGATGAGTGTCTATCAAACAGCTTAGACAACATGTCAAGAGGTTTGAATGTTCTGTTAAAGTTAAAGAACAAAGCTGTGTCTTCTTTAAAACTTCAACACAAAGTAAAGAATATTACAGCAAAAGCATCATTAAAGAATGTACCACCTAATATTGCACGACCACCATATGCATTGAATGGTATTGTGCCACCATCACCATCACGCGCAGAAATAAAAACTGAAAGTGAAATCAAACACATGAGAGAAGCTTGTCAAGTTGCAAGAAAAGTACTGAATACTGCTAGAGACTTTGTAAAGGTATTTTACTCCAGCTGATGTAAAATTTGAGCTGTTATTTTGTATAATTATATTCATTTTGACTAACATTAGTAAAAAACAATGATCAAGATTAAGACAGTTAAACCATACCTAATTTATGAAATGTTTATCACTGTACATTTCATAAGTAATATGATGACATTCCATAAGTAATTTGTCTCTACTCCAAGTTTCACGCATTACTGCGATCATCAGGAGACATATATACTACTGAAACTCATACAATTATATTCTTTGAAAAACACTGGAATATTTTCATTTACACTCTATGAACAACAACAAGTCAAAATGGTGGATTCTATATAAATTAAGAATTTATCACACGAAATGTTGACGTCACCGCACATTTTTTCTGTTTATCACTGCACAATTAGGTATGGGTCAAACCTTGGAATTAACATCACTGGCAAAACATGCATACTCAGAGTTTGAAGAATATCAATAGTCCAGCAGATACCTAAGTTGTCTGAGGTTTTCCCAATGGATTTTTCTACGCTCGCAAAAAAACTCACCTGAAATAGCAACGGCCTATTAGACCTATTAGACTTGATATTGTGCGGTATTTCTGCAAGCGTGGAACAACCTCGGACACCCAGGGTAAAGCCTAGAGGACTAGAAAATTAATTGAAATTTGAGGAAAGGTTTGTTTTTAAGATTCGATTATTTGTACTATCACTTATTAACAGTAGTAATATTATATGACAAACATCAAAAAGGATTATCTGAACAGAGTATCAAATGAAGACAAATTAGTTCGTTTCATCGCCACATCTTCTATTGATTTTTTAAAAGAAATCGCACAAATTTTACGCGGGCTTATATTTTTTGAATTGTACTCTATTGGAATACTTATCCAGGTGATCTGAAAGTGAGCAAAAGGACTGGGACTAGCAACAGAATAGAAATCCAGTTTCGTACCTTTAATCACTTGTCACGTCCTGATTCGTTTGTGAAACTGTTTGAAACTTTGTGTCTGTGTCTTGCACAGGGAAGTGAATATCTGGGACAAATTTGAGATAGAAATATAATACCGTTAATGAATATTGAGTAATTTTAAACCAGAAATGGATTTCTATTTTACAACTAGTGCCAGGCCTTTTCCGAGTTCTGAGATCACCTGGATTAATATTGAGTACAGCAAATGGAAGAGAACCCATTAAATAAGAAATATTTTGTTAAATTTTGTATTTTTCCCGATGTTCAAATCGACACACCACAGCACTGTACAATATTTTTTTTATAGGTGGGTGTATCAACGGATGAAATTGACGAAGTCGTTCATAATGCTGCCATTGAATGTGGGGTTTATCCTTCACCATTAAACTACAAAGGTTTTCCCAAATCAGTATGTACCTCGGTGAACGATGTCGTCTGTCATGGTATACCTGACAAGTATGTATCAGTCTGCATACAGTATATTATTTATGCAAATGCTTATTTCTCATTCGTCGTATCATTTTGTACGTTAGTTTCATTATTGACATTGCAAATATTTTTTTCTTATTTACCGTTTTCTTTGTTTTAATACTTTTCCTTTAGCACGATACTAAAAGATGGTGATATAATTAATGTTGATGTTTCCGTGAGTTAATTTATTGTGGGTTAAGCTTTTTTTCATGAAACACCATTTCTGCGCATTACCTCGGGATCCTGGGTCCAGAGGAACATTTGTCTCAGCAAAAAGAGTGAGGAACATCTTCAATTTTTCACACATACGTCATATGGGAGAATCTTAAGGAATCATTACATCATGTAACATAATGCGTTATGCGCACTATTGAGAATTGAAAAATGCAAACCTCAGGATCTGAGGAACATTTTCCAGGTCTGCTATTGCTTGCACAATTGACCACAATCCATTCCTGAGTCAAAACGTAGACGAATAAAATATGCTTTCTTAATTTGAGTTGCTGTTGTTGTGTAAGCTAAGTTTACACACTGCAATTTATCTGGCGAATGTTATTGACGATGTGGTGATGTCCTCAGATGATTCGGTCCCAAGAAATCGCAGTGTGTGCCATGCAGGAAAACCGAAAAGACCAAATTAAGGCAAGCAATATAGAGAGAACACCTGGGCCAAGTTTACTAGGCTGGCTTTGGCAGGTTTGGCAAATTTCGAGCTAGACCGCCCCCAAAGCGCCTAGGTCCCAGTCTTTTCATGTGAAAATGTGCCTTATAATTAGTCTAGGTCTAGATTGAGTGAATGTTACAATTTTGGTAGAAGACCAATTATACTTGAGTTTTACTTCTTTAATATACTTTATGACGAGTTCATTTCTCCTTCTTGCATGGAGAATATTACCAATAGTATGCACCAAATTATGAACCATTTTCTTAAGCACGAGTTTCGCCATATTTATACATTAAAATATTTTCAATTTAGACATATTTAAATGGTTATCACGGAGATCTGTCTGAGACGTTCCTACTTGGTAATGTAGATGGCGACGCAAAACGTCTTGTGTCAGTTACCAGGGATTGTCTTTATGCTGCTATCACAGTTTGTAAACATAATGAGCGATTCTCGTTAATTGGGAAAACTATAAGGTATTCCTCTTATTTCATTTTCGATATTCACGATACAATATGATTATATATTTGATGCGATATGAAATATTTTATTGCACAGGAAATAAATCTTTTTAAGGGACGGACCATTAGAAAAGTGATGGGGAGGGTGGGGAAAAAACAGAAAAAAAATCCATGCAAACAAAAAAGGTCTGAAAAAAAATACATGCAAACGGACTTGTTTAAAAAAAAAATTACAAACAGAACAACAATAGAACTTTAATTTTAAATGTACACCAGACAAAACTGAACTAAATCCCTGGAATATTCCAGAATATAAATATATCAAAATATATAATATATTAATATGCAATTTCTTTCAATATTAACAGTAACTCTTATGTAGTTTTATTATATACTATCAAAATATTTTCTATTGTATTTAATAATTAATTCTCATTCACACTGCCACTGTCCTCAGTGGCGTAACTACTATGGGCTCGGACCGGGAGAATCCGGGGGCCACCAACTCCAATGGGCCCGCAAATGGGGGGCCCCAGGCTCAGGCTATAGAGCAAAAACACTGGCCAAGGGCCCCTGATATGTTACAATGGCGTTTCCTGACCATCAGAATTCTGTAAAATCTCTCCCCAAAGTCCGGGAAATGGTATTTCAGAGAATTTAGATTCAAAAATTTTCCGGGTGAGCATGCCCTGGACCCCTAGAAAACTTGTCCATATATGGTGCTTCAAGATATAATTCTGCAGTGTGTATTAAAGGGATATTTTTCTGTCAAGAGAACAGTTTCGTTAACATTTGTATTGTTGTACTGGAAAAAAAATTGCATGCGAGAAGACATATTTAAAAAAAACATGCATACACAGCTGACAACCTGGAAAAAAAATGCAAACAAAAAAAATTTACCCCCCCCCCATCACTTTTCTAATGGTCCGTCCCTAATTTGAAGTTTATGTTGTGGGGCTGCGAGCACGCTCCAAGTTTGAGTTTATGTCAACAATTCTCGACTCCACTGTTCGTGACTCGGGTGTCCCCAAAACCCCAAAACTATTGAAATAACGTATTGTTAGAATTGAATGCCCCAGCACTCTGCTGAACCCACAAGTGCATAAAAGCTTGACAATTATGCATAAAGAACTGTGGAAAATCGTGCGCTTTGCAAAGATATTTTAATTTCTTAATAGGTATTTATAATATATGCACCCTGTCAATATTTTACGCATCTTTGCGTTCAGTTTAGTTCTAAGGCATTCAAATTCTAACAATACGTTATTTCAATATATTTTTTTGGAACACTGCCCTGTAGTGTCTTCATCAGAGGTAATCGTCTCTTCGTCAGCAGGTCACAACGTAGCTCCTTATATACTCGAAGGATGACGTCATCACTCATTAAGGTGGATGGGTACTCTTGTAGAAGATACCCACTGTCATTTGTATTCAAAGCAGATTACAACTTTGACCAGGCCAAGTAGACAGATATTTTCAACGTGTTTTCTGTTTGTTTTGAAAAGGATATTTTAAATTAATTTTGCGACAATATGGTCCGACGTCAAAGGTGATCTTTATAATTTGATTAACTGATTCTAGCATTAATTATTTAGTTATATAGCAAACAAGAATGGGTTTCAAGTCGTTCCAAATTTTATTGGTCATGGGATTGGTAGTTATTTTCATGGTCCACCGGATATTCTGCATTTCGGTAAGTTTTGGTGGATATGTACATGTACGAGCATACGTAGAATTCGCGGGTTTCAGGAAAGGTGCCACCTCTTAAAAGTCCTAACAATCGTTGATGGGTGCGCAGAGCGTACGATGTTGTTTTAGCTTTAGGATTATTCACTTATGCATAGCATAAAATTACTAGGATAATGAAGACACATCATGGGTGCAGCGAATGCACTAGCCAACCACAAAAAGACAATCACTAACTCACCCTCCCTTGGGAAAAAATGTTGAAAAACATCTATACATTGGGAATTCTACGCAATGACATACGTAGTATGACTCCGCTGGATGTCAGTGTGGGCAGGGTGCGATAATTCAAGATTTTTGTTGTACTTGACTGGTATACTCCAATAATTATTGCCGCGTACTTAAGCTGGTACAAACGTAAGAGTCGAAGTATATACTATACCTTTTAATATAAGGTGCATAAAGCACAGTTGTTTAAAAGTGATTGATTCAGTAACCTGAAAGGAGGCTGGAGCACAATTGCAGATACAAACACACACAATAGACCTTATACACAATGACGTCACAAGGCATGATGCGCGCGGGGAATTGGTCTTAGTAGTCAAGACAGGAAAATTCAAAACAATCCAACTTGGCTACTGTCGCTACTATTTAGTCCCTAGTGAATGCGAGTGTGCTGCTGTTCTTTGTCGTCGTTTGGAGGCTGTTCAACCTAATGAAGGGCGCGGGCAAAGGCAGGATTCGGGCTACACGCAGTCACACAGTCACACTGGCGCGGGCAAAGGCAGGGTACAGGCTACACACACTGGCGCGGGGCCGGCAAAGGCAGGATACGGGTCACACACAACCTGGGATCCTGTGGTTTGACAGCCCTGAAAATGAAAGTAACGACAACAGTTTTACGTGTTGTACTGTTGTGTTCCTGGCTGTTTTACCAACAATAAAAGAAATCCCGAACTATATTCTGTTATATATAAAGGAGTTCTATTCTGTGCTTTATTATTGTTAAGCCCCGGTCAAACGAGGATGATAGTTGACGAGATCGAGTTGCAACTCTCGCTCGCGTTTGACTGCCAACAATGCCATGCCGAAGAATACGCAGAATACCGCGTACCTACGTACGTGATATTGGCTGACAACAAAGAAGCATCGCACCTTGGACTGTATTGATATCCTGAATTATGATTGCTACAGTATGTTCTTATTTTGACAATTTCTTATCTTGCCTGTTTTAGACAATGAAAATGCGGATAGAATGAAGTCTGGAATGACATTCACAATAGGTAGTTACTGCCATGTTTCTTACTACTTATTTTTTTCATTGTTATGTCAAGTTCATTCACACTCTCATTTATATTCACTCATCTCACATCTTCAGCCACAAAAACTTGATTTTTTCATTTTAAATTCCCTTTGCATAATTGCATGTCAGAAGGATAGGAAATATTTTAATAATATCCAGACTTTCCTTACGTTTGTGAGAAATGTTATTATTTTAGAAAAATCAAGGTGTACAGCTCAGGGTTGTAGACACTTTAAATTAAATTCAGTTCAATTTTATTTAATTAAGCACGGTAGCCTGATCAACTCGTATAATGGGTTGTTTTTCACAGGGCAGGGACTTTATGGCCAGTTCCGGCCTCTTACACTGTATATAGTGCTTCAGTTTAATATATATATCTATATAGCAGAAGCAGATACGTTTCCATGCAACAGCTGATAATTATTTAATGTCAGTGATAACAAACTTTATTTACCAGTAACTAGGCGTGGAATGATTGATAGCCATTCCCACCATAAAATAAGGTTTGTTACATATTTTTGTCTTGGTTCTAATTTCCCTTCTAACTCTTTGGCCCTGGAATATATTTTATTAGCACTTTATGCATGGATCAATTCCTGCGGTTACCATCCCCCCCCGGGGCAATACCCCCGGGATTTGTATTTTTTTGCAAGAATGTAGTAAATTCCCCACCCCCGGGACTTTAAAACTTGACAATTCCCCACCCCTGGGCATCGCTAAAAAACTAAAAATAAGAAATATCAATAAGCAGTTTATAACACACATTTTTAATAAATTATTCATTAAAAAATCTGTGATTTGAAGCTCGATTTGAAGAATCGTTCTTTAAAGTATGTTTCGAAAGTTTTAAAAAGTTTATTTTGAAAACAAATTGTGTTACAAAACGTATATTGTACTATTGAAAAAAAGATAAACTACCTACCTTCAAAAATAGGTTTCAACTTTTGTAAGTTGTTTTTTTCCAACCATTCGCCAACAAATTCGCACGATTTTCCCGAAAAAGCTTCTTGAATTGAGCACGAGGTAGTCGCCATTATGAATACTTTTGGGCGTGCGCTCACTGAACTATATACATGTCACTGGATGCGCTAGCCGCTAGATACGCGGTCAAAACATGGTCCTGGATACGAGTTTTGCTTTTTACCCCGGGGAAACCCCGGGACAAAATTTTCTAACAATTCCCCACCCCCGGGATTAAAGTTTCTGCATTATCCCGGGGGTTGCCCGGGGGGGGGGGTGATGGTAACAACAAGAATTGATCCATGCATTAGCCTTACATTGCCAATAGACCACTTCCGCAATTCAGATAGGTTTAAATTTCATGTGCACTTTAATAAGCCTTGCATCTTCTTGGCCTCGTTCGGGTTCAAAAATTCATTTCAATTTCAGTCACAGAAATGAGGCCAAGAAGGCCTGAAAAGATATCTAAACGCATCTGTATTATAAAACAGGTCTATGAGATTTTTTCTTCAAAGTTGGTCAGTTCTTATTTGAATCGCAATTATTGCGTCTCTTTCAGGCATTCCATCATTCTAACTTGTCCATTTCATGTATTTGTTCCAGAACCAATTCTTAGCGAAGGTTTTCCGGATTTCGTAATTCTTGACGACGGCTGGACATGTGTCTCTTGCGATGGTAGCAGGTTAGTGGATGTCTAGATAGTAAAGCCATGAAATATTGATGTATTTGATAAATATGATGGTATATATATATATATATATATATATATATATATATATATATATATATATATATATATATATATATATATATATATATATATATATATATATATATATATATATATATATGATGCAACAACCATCACTTGTACACAGCCAGAAATCTCACAGGCCTGTCGCAAGCTGTTGATTTTACCGGCTTGCGGCAAGTTGTCAACAAGTCGCGACAGGTCTGTTGGTTTCGTCAGGCGGTAACAGGCTTGCGCGGTAACAGGTCTGTCGCAAGCTGTTGACAACAGAGCCGTAGCGACTTGTTGAAACAACCCGCTACAAACCTGTTACTAACAAGAGATAACAGGTTTGATAGAACAACTTGCAGCAAGTCTGTTGAAATCAACAGGTCTGTTCCAACCTGTTCCAACAGACCTGTCGCGAGTTGTTTTTGTCAAGTCTGCAGCAAGCTTGTTATCAGCCCTGCGACAAACCTGTCCACAACAAACAATTTTTGTCCTGTCACAACAAGTTTCAACAAGCCTGTTGTAGGGAAACAAATCGAAAATGTGAGTAAAGAGATATAAAATCGCACGAAATGGACACTTCCGGCTTCACTTTCTCATTTAATCATTGTCATTGGTGGCAATATTAAATCACATAGGAGAGATTATAGTCCATAGTATCTATTCTCTGATTATTATAAAATGCAAAAGCCGCTGTTTTATTTTTTTTAAAAAAGTTCCGATTTCCAAAATCCAAATTCCAATTTGCTGACGTGTGCTATCGCTATATTTCTTTAATCTGATTGGATAAACGCGTATGCACACGTCATCATTCCTCGTTGCAATTGGGCGAAATATTACAAACATATCAATCACGTAATCATGTTTAGTTGTTTTTGAATTTTGAGCCAAACAAAATTTCAACAACTGCCTCAAACAAAATCAAACAAGTTCAAAGCTGTTTTGATTTTTGAAGAAACTGTAGCAATGAGAATACAAGATCTAGAGCTTAAGAAATGAACAATACATGAACAACCGAGTGTTCACTGCAACGTTCGTCATTGCTGATATGAACATGAAATTCGTTATATAATTTCTTTCCAATTTCAAGTGAAATCTGCGAGCTTAGAAGAAGACGCCTTATTGAAGCTTTGTGTTTATGGTATGTACTGTTTTGAAGAAAAATATGCAAGTAGGTTGTCATATTTCGGTCGTACTTCAAGACAAATAATTTTGAAAATTGTTTACGATAAGAACCTTTCTTGAATTTGTCGTATTTTTTCGGCTGTTTTGCTCAAAAATTATCTCGCAAGTTTGTTTATAAAACTTTATATTCATATATAAAAATCATCTCGCAAGTTTGTTTATAAAACTTTATATTCGGCATATATAAAAATTATCTCGCAAGTTTGTTTATAAAACTTTATATTTCAAACTTCTATTTTACGAAACACTACAACCGAAATATGGCAACCTGTTTGGCCGTTTTTTGTTCAAAATAGTGGATAGACAAGCTTCATAAGGCGCTTTCCTCGGTTTGCAACAGGTCTGTCGCAAGTTGTTGAAAACAGCATTGCTGCAGCTCTGTCACAACAGCTTTTAACAGACCTGTTGAAAACAGCATTGCAGCAGCTCTGTTACAACAGCTTGTAACAGACCTGTTGAAAACAGATTTGCAGCAGCTCTGTCACAACAGCTTGTAACAGACCTGTTGACAGGCCGTTGCAGGTCTGTCAGAACAGACAGGTACAAGGCGAGCGAACGCATCCAGATATCGGCTTGTTGACAACAGGATTTAACAGATCTGTTGCAGATCTGTTCCGACTTGCGCGTTTCTGGCTGTGTATAGTCTGGAAGTTACAAGTAGTGTGGTGGCATATTTTCATTATTTTGTGTGTACAGTCTAATACGTTCAAACGTTTGTATATACTTCATCACTTCAGAGCAATCAGTCAAGTTTCCTTATTCCAACCTTTCTTCCTTTGTTGTCGAAATTTGGTGAGCTGTGGAAACACAATCATACTGCAAATGTTGGATGAAAATTTTTAAACAAAGTCAGACACGATCCAACATCAGCCAAAATGGTGTTCGAACGAGGCCAGCAATGTTGCATCTAGACTTGGTTCAAGTCCATCTTTCAAGGGGTTGAAAATAGTGATGCACGCGAGCGGTGAAAAAAGGCGCGAAAATATGAGAGAAAAATAGGGAGAGACAAGGAGAGACAGACTTGGAACTTTTGCAAGCGCGCCAAAATTTACCGTCGGATTTTTCCTATGGAGGCGTGATTTGCGAGTTGACAACAACAACAAATTTTCGCGCCAAGTAACATTCGAAATGCTGCAAATGTCCCAAGTCCGTCTCTCCCTACTTTTCTCCTGAGAAGGACTTGAACAAAGTCTATGTTGCATCCAACAATGTTTGACCAACATCTTGTCCAATCGCCTCGTTTGAACGAGCCTTAAATTCAAAAACTCGGAATGACAATGTGATGTCTTTATGTTATATTTAGGTCAGCGCAATTTGAACATACGATACTCATAACTGACACAGGAGCAGCAATTTTAACAGCTGATGATACAACACGTGTCTGACTGAGCGGCAAGTTCTGGATGGAACGCTTGAAATATTGTTCTTAAACTACCTTTGTAATGAAGATCGGTTCATTTCTGTTTTTATGACACATTGGGAAGAACATTTAAACTGCTGACAGTAACACCGCGGAAAAACGTCTGCGCATGCGTCAACCTTACCTGCAATAGTATTGCGAACTTGATGAGAAGCTGTTCCGAACGTTCCGGAAGGCTCAAAATGGCGGTAAAAAGGAGTGACTTCATTGTGCGTCTTTACAGCCAGATTTCAAGCGCAAAAATAAACATGTCATTCTAAAAACTAGAAATAAATACAGCCAGAAGGTTCAAGAAATTGTATTGTACAAGAACATGAACTAAAGGTGATTGTTGACAAATTTATCGTCTGAAACATTTTGTTTATCAACTAAGCAATGACAATTTCCGAATTTTTGTTTGAGATACATTTCTTTAAAAAAAACTGTGTCGCCAAATATAAAAAAATTGCGTGTTCACAATAATTAAACTTTAGGATTTATTCTACAATTTGAGTGGGTTAAGAAGCTTAACTTTTCGAGAGTTTTCTTAACTTTTGAGTTTGAATTTTTGTTTTGAATAATTTTGCAAAAATTTTCGAAGTCGTGTCCGTTAAAATCAACAATTTTTTACATGAATTATATTTCATTCCATACTTTAAATGCCAGGACGCTTTCAATTAATGTCTAGTCTACCCATTTGCTATATTTTCTCGTTTGTTTTACTAATTTTTGACCAGTTAATAAGCATGTTTTTGTTTTAGAAATTGATATTCAAATTCCCCGCCATATTTTCATAATTCGGTGCATGCGCAGACGTTTTTCCGCGGTGTTGCTGACAGTAGCGCCCCCAGTAGACAGGAGTTTCAGTCTTATTGGTGTTGTTGGTGATTAACTAATATTTTTCAAACATCAACGCTTGATAACTTTTTTATTCCGTAAATTTCATTTAATTAAAGTGGAAGTCAAGTCCGTTCTGCGCATCGGTTCTGCTCATAACAATGTGAGGGCCTCTAATGTGAATATTGCCCAAATTTCGAATGTTTCGAATTTTTCTGAACATAAACTCTATTTCATATTCATTTAGAAGCATAGCGAACCAAAATGGTGTTAGATATTCAGACAGTACATCATATTTTAAAAAATACAGCAGTTCAAAATGTAAACAAACCGTTTGTTTACATTACGGACTTGACTTCCACTTTAAGCCTGAAAGGTTTGAGGACTTAATTATCCGGCATGATTTGGTGGGAATACGTTAGTAACCGGAATTCGCATCCATAATATTTCCCCAAAAATATTATTTAAAAAAAAATAACAATGAGCTCCATATATATCTGGAGCGAGAACTCGAGTTCAAAAAGTAAAACCAAGATGGCGGAAATTGAAGAGCTATTGGAAAGGTTAGCACTATTTTCCATCCAGCAAACTGACCTGACGTCATTTTCGGAAGATAGAAGAGGTGTTAAATGGCTATGTAACTAACGCAAACCCAACCCTTACTCTAACCCCTAACCACAACCCTAACCGAATTAATAAAAAAGTCCCCAAAAAACGACTTTATGAAATCGATAGGGCGGTTTGCTGGATGGAAAAAAGTGCTAACCTGTTGGAAATTGGACGTCATTTCCAGTCCCTTTCTATTGTTTTTGTCTGCGCGGTTAACCTGAAGTTGGCTAGGAGTGTGCGAAATTTCGTAATTTGACATCGATTTAAAGAATAACACTATGGTTTTTATGAACTAATAACTTGTTTAGCGACAGGGTCCGTTTGAAAAAGCTGGAATTAAAATGGGGAAAATGGTATTAAAACTGTTTACGACCTTCATAGCTATTGGACGTCATTTTCCGCCATCTTGGCTTCACTTTTCGCATAGGTCGAATGACTGAAGTTCTTGCTCCAGATATATAGAGCTCACTGCAAATATATAGCTTCTGTTGTAGCGGGAAATTTTTTGCCCGCAAGTTCTCCCCAAAAAACCGACCGCCAGCTTGCTTCCTTGGCACATTTAAATTGTTTGTTACGCCGAAATATCACACACGGCAGCACGACTACATTTTTCGAGAATATCTTTTTATCTTTATTACAATACAGAAGCCCATATGGCTGCTGGTGTTATACATTTTAATTCCCCTATGAATTACTACCATGTTTCATGCAATGTAGGTAAATAATAGATTTATACGTTGAAATATTTGCAGGGTGGTACAGTCATTATTTCGTCTTGATAATCAATAGTGAATTCCTGTTTTAACTCCTCTCGCATGAGGTCAGTTACCGTTGCAGAACAATACGAGAAGCTTAAGAGGAAACCAATGTTTAAAAAAGAGAAATAAAATACAAGTAGCCAATCCACATTAATGGAGAGATACACATTGATATCGTTTTCTATAACTTGACGTGAAATTTCTGCGACTATCTTGTCTTCTTGATCTGCAAGGCCAGTTAGGTAAAGATTTCGAAGTGGAATACAAAGAGTTAGTCCCAAGACGAGGAATAATAATGACATTACTATTGAATTCAGCGTTTTATTTTTGCAGCGTTTCAGTGAAACAGGTAGAGAGGTTATAAGCTTTTCCAAAAGCCATTTTATGTTTCCTCCAACACGGATAAGGACGTGTATGAAAACAACTATTGATAGTAGAGATTGGATAATAAGAACGAGTTGGCACCAGACTGGGTTCTCTTCGAAAATGATGCACAAACCTGAAATACATAAGGTACAATTTAATTAGACACACAGTCACATTGTTAGTGTTGTTATTTAATGGCTCAAATCCTGAAATAGCTGAGGATCTCCCAGAGGTTTCAAGAGAACAACGTATGTGATTTTGGATGTCTAACATTTTTAAACGGGTCATCCCGGTTAACCGGACCATCCTAGTCTGCGAACCCAAAGCCATTTTCTACGCCCCCGCCTCCTTAATATGAACGGGCTTCGTGGCGAAAAGGTACCATTTTGAAGGGAACACGGCAACACAGACCTGTGAGATCCTGCGAATAAACTCGTGTTACCAGGTTAAATATGGCAGTGATATAGGAACGACTCTTGTTGCCTTCACACATGAATCTAGTTAATGCAGCTATGCATGGAGTTCGGTGGTTTCCTGACGTTCTAACGCCGGTTTGGTCTAACGATCGCATGTATACAGTATATGATACAGTTTTAAAAAGTTAATACAGCTATACTGCAGTACGGTTCAGAATAGATCTGTCGAACCTATCTGAAAACTACTTGTCGCATTTTAAACAAAACCTGATCAATATACAGTATAAAGAAATGGAAATGTGGAATTGTGGTCGTAAACAAAGCCTATATAGGACATGTCAAAAACTCTCATACCACGTCTATCGCCAGCATTCGTCATCGTGCTGTTTATAACTTCTCTATTTTAGTATTTATCTCAAGGAATTGCATGTAGTCATCCTTTTGATTCAGAAATGCATTTGGCTTAAATTAGAACACACGGATCAGTTAGAGTAATATCATGTGTATTATGTGACGTTGAAATATACAGGATGTACCAAAAAACCCCAAAACTATTGAAATAACGTATTGTTAGAATTTGAATGCCTCGGCACTCTGCTTACCCTGGGTACCAGAGCCTCTTATGAAGTGAGGACACGACGAGGAGGAAATTGAAATTTCAATTTCCTCCTCGTCGTGTCCTCACTTCATAAGAGGCTCTGGTACCCAGGGTATACACTCTGCTGAACCCACAAGTATAAGAGCTTTGGGCTGCGTTTACACTGTACCGGATAGCTTTTCCGTAGCGACGTGAAAAACACATATCCGTACCTTTTAGGGACGCTATTTTCAGAGGAGTTATTGCAACGGAGAGATGTTGTTTCGCTTAGCTACTGAAAGTTGTACATTCCATATCGATTATCGGATGGGTGTTTTTCGCGCCGCTAAGGAAAACTATCCGCTAAATTTCCAAGAGCAGAAAATCGTCAATATTTAATATATGCACCCTGTCAATATTTTACGCATCTTTGCGTTCAGCTTAGTGCTAGGGCATTCAAATTCTAACAATACGTTATTTCAATAGTTTTTTGGGGTTTTTTAGGACACCCTGTATATAACTATGTTGGCCCATATAAGGCCTGTTATTTTAATCCCATCCTATACCCTGGGTTCCAGAAGAATAACTCCCCCTCCTACCAAAATATCTATATAAGTAAGTAAACTCTCTATTGAATGAGGGTAGCACAGAATAGTTACAAATTAATAAATTATCTGATCGTGATGACATGTAATGCACATAAGACTATATATACCTCTCGCAACCGATAGTGTGCTGACCAACTCCGTTCGATGTGGAAGCGGCAATTGTTTTGAACGTTCTATTTGAATCACGTTGTTTCTGACGTAAAGTCTCTCAGAAATTGTTCCAGTCCATAATCCCGTCTGAGTTTTGGCGCTTTCAAAGATATTTTGTAATTTTTTCTGCTGAACTGTTGTTTGTACTTCAACTTTGACAAGTCCAACGAGAAGGACTCCATGGAGTACATAAAACAACCATATACACATTATTTGTTTCAGCACATTCATCGCACACATCATTTACAAATCACCCTGTTGACCTGATAAGTGTAACAAAGAGTTACAATCCTGTCCCTGAAAGTGAAAGGCTATAAATATGAGATGCTTATACATTTACACTAATATATGTCATGAAACCGCAATGCTATTAATATGCGCTATATCACACATGCAACTGAGTATATGCAATGTTTTTATATCTCTGAATATCGTGACAATATTCGATCAGTTAGAGTTAAGCATGGTAATTAAGGTGAAATTTCGTGCATTAAATAGAGGTTTAATTGTGAGGAACACAAAAGGATTTTCACATGCAGTATTTATTTTACTAACGACTTATATAGGCATAGAAGTTACTCACGTTATACATTCACTTTATTTTAGTCTTTCAAGGCCTTAAAATTTGTTTGATGAATTCTTTTTTTAGGACCGACAATATCTACCTATACTGAATCATGCATGCATGCAATCATATTCCTCAAGTAATTGACATGCATGCACAGCCACACGGAATACTCCACGAATCTGTGATTTGACGCCCTCGCTAAATCGCGTGCGAATTTACCGTTTGATGCACCGACCAGTTATAGTTTAACTTGGTTTATTAACTGCGTGAACGTTCACAATCAACACTGGCAATAAGATAACGATTACTCCCAATAGCACGCAGTTGCGACCTGGGTCATTGCTGTCTGTACATGTACAAATAAATTTACTTTTCTAAAATTGTGAGAAATAAACTTGGAGTATATTTTTAGTTGTTGGGGCAGATATTAATGATATTCTTAATTTAATTCAATCCCATCGGCATTGACATGTTAATAACGTACCTGTTACCGGTTGTTTGTGATATAGGCGTGCATATATGCTGTCACGCTATAAGGGGGGGGGGGGGGGATTTTCACAGAATCACAGTTGCGTTTTTGAAGCTTCGATCGCCAGCTCCAGTTTTGAAACAACGTTCACTCTGTATATAATAAACCTTTCTTAAACGCGGAAAACCAATTTATGGGAGGTGCCACAGGACATGTGCAAGTCGTTGGCGAGCCAATAAATTTCATTAAAACCATCATTTGCATTGCGAATGGTTCGTAAAAATTTGTCTTCGCATTAAGTGTTTTTCCGCGTTTGACGTCATTATAAGGTCTATTGGCCGACTTTTTTTCTTTGTCAGCATCACTTATCAGATTGGCGTCCAAACTACCTCGACGCTCGCCAACGATTCCAAACTGTACAGAGACCTCTTCACGTACTAACCCTAGGCTAACTCTGTACCGCAACAAAGGTGATTTCGTAGCTCTATGAGAATCTTCAAAACATTTGTCGTTGACTGATATTGTTCTAAATGAGAATGATATTGACATCGCTTGGTCCAAATAGAAAGATACCTCCTTGCCTGATGCAGTTGATATTTAACAAATATTACGGTGGCCCATAAGTGCAAAACACAATACACACTACCAAAACACAATACACACTACCAAAACACAATACACACTACCAAAACACTACCCTGGTTCCAGAGGTTTAAAATAAACCTCTAGTTGAAAGCGGCAATTGATTCATCGAGCCGCGCCAATCAGTTTGAATTAGGGTCAGATTCTGACTATGTCTCCTGATTGGATGATTGTATTAAAGCTCTCTGATTGGTTATAGATGTTTTATTTGAATCAATCAGAGAGCTTTAATACAATCATCCAATCAGGAGACAGAGTCGGGATCTGATCCTAATTCAAACTGATTGGCGCGGCTCGATGAATCAATTGCCGCTTTTAACCAGAGGTTTATTTTCCCTCTCCCCTTCGCAATGATAATAAAAATAAACCTCTGGAACCAGGGTACCAAAACACAATACACACTACCAAAACACAATACACACTACCAAAACACAATACACTAAACCAAAACACAATACACTAAACCAAAACACAATACACTAATATGTTAATTTATGAATCGAACCGCTGACCAGTATTAACGCAGATTAACACAAAAATCCCGCCAAATTATTTTAAAATGGCGGATGCTGAGCAAGAAGAAACTATAATTCGACATTATTTCTCGTTAAATTAGGACTACAATACAGAGCTGCCAAGTCTCACGGTTTACCCGTGAATCTCCAGGTTTACGCGCTGACCTCCAGGTCTCACGGTTGGTGTTGAAAATCTCACGGAAGCCATTAAAATGGTCCTTTATACATGGATTCTGCATCTATATGCTCTGAAAAAACATACAATTTGCGAAAATATCGTCTGTTCTTTCGAATAAAAATCCGTACGTATTTGTAAAATGACACTCTTGTTAAAAAAAATTAGTAGCGTGGAAGTATAACGTAATCTAAACGTGAATTATGTGTGTGTGCGGGCTTACTTTTTATAAGCATGCCCTGTCAACAATAATATAAAGTTAACAATTTATACATAATTTGATTAAAAATTTTCAGCATTAAATATTGTCTGCGCTAGGGGCGGGGGGGAGGGGGGGGGTGTACGATCTACGAACTAAAGGCGCCAGCAACCTCCAGGTTTTTTATCATCTGAACTTGGCAGCTCTGACAATACAATTTTGAGTTTTCTCGAAAGAAATCATGGGATAAAAATTTCAAAAAGAACGCTTTTAAATCGTTTAAGTGAGTATCAGCTCCATAGAAGACATCGTAATGTTGATGAAGAAATTGTTCGAGAATGCATATTAACAGAGCTGGACGGTTCTGGTTCACTACTTGGTTACCGATCGATGTGGCGTATTTTACATTGAAAATATGGCGTCAACGTCCCAAGATCAGTTGTTCAAGTTCTTTTGGCTGAGCTTGATCCGGTGGGAACCCAGCAAAGAAAAGCTCATCGTCTGAAAAGGCGGCAGTATTCCAGCCCCGGTCCCAATTATTGTTGGCACTCGGATGGGTACGACAAACTAAAGCCCTACGGCTTTCCTGTTCACGGCTGCATTGACGGATATAGTCGAAGAATTATCTGGCTCAAACTTACTAAAAGTAACAACAATCCGCATATTATTGCCTCATTCTTCTTAGAATCTATTAAGGAATTACAAGCTTGTCCGACACTCTTACGAACAGATAGAGGCACGGAGAATGGAAGTATGGCGACAGTGCAGTGTTTCCTTCGGAGAAACCATAACGATTCATTATCCGGTTTGGGTGCTCATCGTTACGGCTCATCGCATGCAAATCAACGAATAGAGGCCTGGTGGTCCTTTCTACGAAAGAACTGGAGTTCATGGTGGATTAACTTTTTTAAAGATATGGTAGATACTGGGGATTTGAACACAAGCAACAGCATGCATATGGAATGCCTTTGGTTTTCATTCAAGAAAGTAATCGAAAATGAGTTGAGTCAAGTTCAAAGTAATTGGAACAATCACTATATTCGCAAATCAAGGTACCAAACCATGACTGGGATTCCAAACAAACTGTACTTTTTGCCAGAGGAAGTTGGATCAGAAGATTACCAGAAACCATTTAATCCTGCTGATCTGAGAGAAGCCGAATATGAAGTTCACTCCACCGATACAGATAATTCTGATGATGAAGAAAATGAAACCAGTGACTACCAACAATATTTTAACTATGCACTTCAAACACTTGGAATTGATCACCCAACCAGTTGGAGAGAAAGCTTGTATGTTTATCAAACATTGTTATCTTCTGCCACTTAGTTACAAGTAATTTAATATGGCTGTAAGCAATATGCATGGGAATAATGCCTGAAAACACAATTAAGTTGCACTCACAAAGAACAACTAGAACAATTGAAAGTTGCTTTGTTGGATTTTATTTTAACATGTATTGTTACACATTATGCATATGTCCACTCCAAATTAGACTTTAGTTTCCCGTCCGGCCCTTATTTCAAATTACACGCGGGCGGGCGGTCCATTATCCATTATGGTGTCTCAAAGATGAAACAGGGCCCATTCTTTCATGAAATAGATACGTTTTAAATATCCACTCAGCCACGTTTCTACGCAATGTTCTAGATTTTTTGTATGCAGAAATGAAAGTGTGTAGCTCAGCAGTTCGTAGTGAAAACGGAAAAGAATTCACGCTCTTTGATAAAAGTTTCAAGAATTTTATTTCGATTTTTACGTGTTGCATCATAAATAGAATATTTGCTTGCGAATAGGAATTTTATGTCTGTCATCTTGTTATTATTATCATATTAATTAACTCTGCCAAGGGTGTGGAGGAAACCTGCTTTGCAAAGATAAAACTTTAGCTGTAGGCAAATAGTTTAACTGATGGAACAACTACATTATTTACAGGGTGCTGTCATATAGACACACTCAAACATTTTACGTTTAGTCGCTTATAGTCAGCTGTCGAGGCAAGTCATTAATCTTGTCAGCAGTAATTTTTATACATTTTTATACATTGCGAATTTCTCGTGAAGATTGAAATTGTTTTCACTATTTTCACTATATATTCAGGTGAGTTTTTCCTTTATAACGCTAATAGTATATTCGATCAACATTTCTTGCGGTCACGTTGGTAGTGGTAGCCTATTATTAATTTTACTGGTATATATCCAGCGCTGACCTGAATTCTATAGTTTACTATGGCTGTTTCGTCCACGGGCACTGAGATACCTAAGGTACTGATTTTGGGCCATTCATTTGAATCATTTGTGCGTAGACTTCGCAGTGATCTACATGCACGTTTCGACGAGCGGGCAGCCAAAAATTTTGACCTGCAAGGAACGGCCGAGATATTTATGCATGGCGTGGGAGGTCGAACAGTCCCAAAATTAAGAAAGATGGATATGGGGGTAGTCACTAGAATATCCCCTGATATAGTCATTCTCGATATCGGGACGAACGACTTAGCTCTTGCCCAACCTGAGGTAGTGGGTTCGGACATCGAGGAACTTGTTCGCTCGTTGGTCGCGGAGTCAACTCCGTGCGCGCCGTGGTTTTGTGCCAAGTCACTCCACGTGCGACAAACAAGGGCTCTAATTTTAATGAGAGAGCCAAGCTTTTGAATCAGTACACCCGGGTAGTGATCGAGCCCAGAGAACAAGCCATTTGTTGGACGCATAGAGGTTTCTCCAACCCATCCGTAACTCCCCTTTTAGCAGACGGGGTACATTTCAACCACATGGGACAATATACCTTGTACAGGAGTTACCTTGGGGCGATAAAGCATGCCGTAGGAGCAATACGGCAAGATGATAATTGATAGGGTTATGTTAAGTCTGTTATTTAAGTTAGTATTGAGTATTTTATGCGAACTGTGTATTTTCCCTTGGAGCGAACAGTTTGTTCCAACGGTTGTTAGTTGTGTATAATATGTGTCTTATACCCTCCGCTATTCTATGTCCTCTGATTGAGGACCTGTCTTATATCCGCCTTTTGAGGAGTAGTCTTATATCCTCTGAGCGAGGACTTGTCTTATATCCTCTGATTGAGGATTTGTATTATATCCTCTTGTTGGAGGATTTGTTTGATATCCTCTGATGGGGGATTTGTCTTATTTCCTCTGTTGAGGAGTTGTCTTATATCCTCGGATAGAGGATTTGTCTTGTATCCTCAGCTTGAGGATTCGTCTTATACCCTCTTGTTTGAGGAGTTGTCTTATATCCTCTGATAGAGGATTTGTCTTGTATCCTCAGTAGTATAGGAACTAGCGTGTCTAGACCACTCGACTTTTTTACGATTCGCAATCGTAAACCAATTCTCTGTCTAAATTCTCATATTTTACTTATGATTTTATTTTCTAGACCATATTGGTTTTTCTGAAACGCTAGATTTTTTTCCTAAATTAGAACGGTCCACTTTTCTCAGATCTTCAAATTTCAACTCCACCAATCTTATTCAATTCCTCTATTCCAAAGCCTTTTCAACATCTTTTGTTTCCCCCTCTGAGGGTACACACACCCTTTCATAAAAACCTCCCAATCAGCGCTTTAACAGCTACTTTCCATACGCCCTAGCCTCGTTTACTAGAGCTTCTGTGTAACCTTCGTATTCAGGTGGTAATGTGTCCTTATTATTTCTAGCTAGTATAAGATCTGCTAGAGTTCTTCGAATGGGCCGTAATTTTCTGCACTTATTTTTCAACCTTTCTATTATCATCCGATTCGCTTCCTCTTGGGTGAATTCTCCGGGTAGCCTTCCGACTCTTATCAGTTCACTTACAGGTTCAACTTTACATTCGACTGCCTCCTTCATTGTCAGGTAGTGTCCGTAAGCATAACTGGTAACTCCGTCCTCCAAGATGTACCTCTTATCATCAAAGCAACTCAGAGTGACCTTCCTCATTTCGTAAGTTCCAATTGTATGCTTGATGCTCCTGATTGTGTTCATATTATGTCTCATCCTACCTTTCGTCTTAATTACATTCTTGAAGTTCTCATGAGTGAGCTTATTTCTGATGACATACTTTTTGGCAGGCTTTCCTGTATAAGGGAGGTGTCAACAAGCCCATCACTTTTACCAGCGTAATATCTCAGGTAGTCGTTTGTACTTGTGAGGGAAGTTTTACTTGTAAGCTCATCATAGCTAATTCCAACAATCATCCCTGATGCATTTTTAGCATACCTAACATTTCTAACAGTCCTATGTTCATTTCTAAACTTTCTATAAACAAGTCCAATAGATGCTCTACTACTCAGGAACCTATCAATATCCCACTGTCCTTTAACTGGTATATTGCCGGATATTACCTTCAACTTATCGGAGTACTGCTGAAGTAAACTAGGATCCCTAATAAACCTTCTAACCCATAAGTACACATGAAAGTTCATAATAGATGTTATAATAGGATTTACATCTACCTGAGGGCTTGTATGGTAAGTAGAGACGCCACATAAATAAGTCGCTATATAGGCACCACATATTGCAGCATAATAGGGTAAATCCTTTTTGAAGGTTGGTGTAACATTATCAAGGCTAATATAATCATCAATCTTAGGAAGTTTACTATAGAAGAATTTATTATTGCTTACATAAACCTTAAAGTTGGAGATAGGATTAATTTTTGTAATAGGAGGGTACTTTCCAATAACAGGATCGCCTTCAGTAAAACTTATCTTCTGAACTGCACCTCCACTAGACCACATTACAGGCCACCCAGAATTTTCAGGTAATACCTCAAGTGAACCTTTATCTCTAGATGCTATCTCCAGTGGAGGCTGAACCATGTCAGTCATAGGTATAAACTGTGCTGGAGTAATAATTTTCTTAGTACCTGTGAGATAAGCTGTAAACTCCTTGTCCTTCCTAAAACCGTCATATCTAATGTCATATGAAGTTATACCATCTAAATCAACAAACCAGGTGATAACTCCTATATCACCACTACTAGTAGCCTTTGCTTCAAACTTAAACCTATTCATATCAGCGTAAGGGTACTTTTTAATACATTTAGCCCTCTCAGCATTCTCTGCATTTTTACCAGCAACAGGATCAACATGATCTTCATCGTCTTCCTTTCCATACTCTTTTTCATAGTCCTGATACGATCTATACGGCGACTTACCAATTTCTCCTCCACCTAGTCTCATTCTTAATAACCTAACGTATGTTATTAAGATGAAGTTCACAATTTCACTTCAGGGCTCGCACACTATTGTATCACTACAGAATTCAGTTCTAACAAGCAACTATAATTCAGTCTTTATGAAGAGAGTATCAGTATTCTGGGAGTACTTCAATATAAGGGAACCAGCAACTATTCTCAAAGTGAAAACAGATGATGGAGAATCTGATGTGATCATTCATAAAGGTTACTACACATTTGACAGTATAAAGAAGCTACTTGAAAGACACGGTGTTAAGCTAACCTACTTTGCCGAAACAGCAGGATGTCAAATAGAGGCAGTAAAACAGGATATCACAATAGAAACACGATTACTGACTATGTTAGGTTTCAATAGATTTTCTAACCCTATGATCCTACTAAAAGGGAGGAGTTTGACAGGTGACAGCAAAGTTGACTTTAATAATGGTCTACGAGCTGTAAATATACACTGCAATCTAGTAAGTAGCACTCACAACGTTAACCCTTGGGGAAGACCCAGCGATGTAATAACAACTATTACAATTCCAACTGACAGACCATTATTAGGCTCAGTTGTTAGTTACATTGATGTTGAAAGTAGGACTTCAATTGTTAAGGGTTCATTCTCAGAACTTGTATTCTACATGACAGATCAAGATGGGAAACCTGCTGATATAGGTGAAGTGCTTATCGAGATGTACCTTGAGTAGCGAGCTTACATTGGTTAATATAAAATGGACGATGATATTATAAAAGAACAGGGACTACGAGATATTTACTACAATCCTAAGACTGGATTTCAAACACCAGAGAAACTATATCTGAGAGCAATATCAGAAGGACTTGAAGTAACCAGAAACCAGGTCAAGAAATGGATAAACGAGCAAGACACATACACTAGGTACAGGCAAGTGTTCAGGAAACATAAGTTCAGACAGACGTACGTCCAAACTTTAGGTGAACAGTTACAAATGGATTTAGTTGACATGACAAAATATGACGACAGGAACAAGGGATACCGATGGATTCTCACATGTATTGAAATACTGAGTAGGTACGCATTCACGGTACCAGTGTATAGGAAAAACGCAACATCAATGAAGGACGCCGTCAGTAACATTTTAGAGCAATTTAATAATCGTTTTGGTAAATACCCAAAATTCGCCCAGTTTGATCAGGGCACAGAGTTCTACAACAAAGAAGTAAAGTCATTACTTAATAAACATAACATTGAGTTTTTCTCTACTTACTCAGACAAAAAGGCCGCAGTTGTGGAAAGATTTAACAGAACACTGAAAGCTCTAATGTGGAAGTACTTTTACTGTGCCAGTACATATAAATGGTTAGACGTTCTTCAAGACTTAACCGATAATTACAACAGTTCAGTGAACAGATCAATTAAAACAACACCGGACAGTGTAAATGAGTCCAACTGGACTGAAGTATGGAAGACACTTTTTAGTCACAATTTAGGCAAGCCGTCAGAACCAAAGTTTGCTGTTGGAGAAAGTGTCAGGATCTCAAAGTACAAATCAGTGTTCACAAAAGGGTACGAAGCTAACTTCACAGAGGAGTTGTTCACTGTGACAGAAGTGTATCACGGTCATCCAAACACGTACACAATAAAAGACAGTGCTGATGAACCAATAATTGGTAGATTCTATGAACAAGAACTGTATAGCGCTGAAGGAAGAGAACCTGATTTCAGAATAGAGAAAGTATTAAGAAGAAGAACAGTGAAGGGTAAAAAGATGGCTCTAATTAAGTGGTTAGGTTATGATGACAAATTTAACAGTTGGATACCAGCTGGAGACATAAAGTCCCTAACATAAGTTAAAGTATTATGGAGGACTATGATGATCATGATGATATTGAGTTGGAGGAGACAGAAAAAAGTTATCCTCAATATGATGACCTCAATTATGATGACCTAACGACAGCCTTTAGTGAGTTAGATACAAGGGTGAAGGACGAGGCTATGTATGGTGATGATCCTATAGTGATAACCAATCTTAAAAGTGAACTGGACTATGTAAAGAGTCTCATGAGGTCACGAGAAATAGTTTCTACAATTAGAGAATCCCTGAAGGAAATTGAAAGACTTAAAGAGCAGGAAACAACTTTCACCGAAGGAAATGATGGTACAGTAAACATTTCAGGTCCATCAGGAAGCACGACCGCCCCAGGAGTAGATTTTGTAGAAGACCCAAACAATGTACTTCCAGATGTTCTAGATGCATTCGACGAATCATTTGACACTAGCTGGGATGATATAGAAGCCCGCCTAGAGAAACTGAAAAAGTTCTCAGAAGACCGGCTCACAGCAAATAAAAAGAGAGATTTCGAAAATCAAGTGGAGCGTGTTCAAGCTGTCGCGAGAGTTATCAAAAATAAGGAGGGACTAGTACTAGACCCAAAGAATAGATACGTCAGGGAACTCATCAAACGATCATCTGTAAGAACACTCAAGGATGGTATGGAGGTGTTGGTATTTAGAAGTGAACAAGGTATTGACAAAAGTGGCACACAAATAATGAAACGTGGTAAGACCAGCAAACCTGTGTACTCAAATAACTCACCTGCACTGAGAGAATATAAGGACCTTTTAAAGAAAATAAAAGAGGTACCTACAGATCCTGACGCTAGAATTACAAGTGATGAGGACACTAGGGAAGAGCCGCAATTTGATGACAGTGACGAGGAATACGCTGACCGTGAGAACATTGAGTTAATAGACATAAGTGCAAAATTAGGAGACCTTCCAGGGTTAACAATGCAAGAAAACAACGAACTGAGAGGTGTTCTTAACCCACCTGATGGATCAAGCATAGAAGGCAGAACAGGTCCCAATGGAGCGTTACAAATTCAGGCTGACTACTTTAATGAAGCTATTGGTGAAACCGTGGAACGAGCCACCTCTGCGGAAGGTACAACTGAGTATAATTCCCTCCTAGAAAGAATTGACAGTTTGAAGGAAGCTAGAGATAGGACACTAGAGCAGAGAACTGTAGAGGAAGCAAGAGAGGCACAGTTGAAGGATATTTCCAGATTACGTAGATTTGTGAAATGGTTAGGGGAGGAAAAGGTGGGACTTGTAGGGATAGCAGTGTCAACAGCAAGTTTAATTACAGCCTTACTGATTCATGCTAGGGGAGCCATTGTGAAGACAGCAAAGGTCACTGGTAAAGTGGCAAAAGCATTAGCAAATTTAGCAAAGAAAGCAGGGCCAATTCTAGTTCCAATCCTGAACGCAATTGCAACAGCGCTATCATGGGGAGCAAAAGGAATTAGCTGGTTAGCGTCACATTTATGGGTACTAGCTATAGCTGCAGCCTTAATGGTATACAACTATTACACAAAGTAAATTAACAATGGAGGAACATCAAGAGGAATAAGATGACCAGAAAATGGAGGAGTTGAATGAAAAGTATCCAGACTATGAAGAAATGGATATAGAAACTTTAGATAGCGAATTACCGTACCTTGACAAGGATCTTAGAGAAAGCGAAACTCCTGAGGAGACCCAGGATATTAACGAGGAAATTAATTACGTACAGGAACTGAGGAGGAGAAAAATACTGGAAACATATGAAAGCAAAGACCTTACGCGAGAGCAATTAGCCGAGAAATTTCCTGACCTATCTAATCTGTCATATGATGATCTAATGGATAGGGGAGACAGACTGTTAAACGAATTGGTACTATCCAGTTTGGATGAAGACAGTTTAAAAGAAAAGTCGGAAGAACTGAGATACGTCAGAATGCTATCAAATGATTACCAAAGAGAGTCAAACTTAAATAAACTTCTCAACTTAAGAGATAAGGTGAAAAAGAGGGATCTCATTAAACGGGATGATCGTAGGAGACTGCAGAGGCTCAGGTTATGGGCAAGGGAGAATGCAGGCATCTTATCAGCTGTTATAATTTTCTCATCAGCTGTAATCATAGGACTGGTAGCATCAACCAGAAACACACTATGGAAAGTAGGTGACACAACAGGAAAACTTGATAAGCGGATCAGTGAGTTGGTAAACCACCAAATAGAACTACCACCTGTATTCCAGAAGATAACCGATGGAGTAGAGTTAGCAGCGGATAATATATGGATAATCATTGTATATGCAGCAGTAGTTTTATTATACAAATACAACTAAACATTACATATTGTATAAAGTATGAATACCACAGAAAGAGAACTCCAGCCTGGCTTCAGGAGGAGCCGTATGACATCAGTAAAAGGACCTAGAACCAGAAGTGTTGTAACTTTTAATCCAACAACTATCAGCCCAGGTGAAGAGCTGTACATTAACATCCCTAAATTAAAGCCTGACTCTTGTTTAATTCCAGGATCACTTGCACTATTATTTGACTTCAAAAATTCCAATACAAAAAGCCACTTTAATAATAACCTGTCTAAGTTGATAGCTAAACGTCTTCAGGTTAAAGTAGCAGGTGAAACAGCTTATGACTGTTCAGGAGAGAGTTTGTACGAAATATACAAAGATCTATGGCTAACATTAGGTGACAGGAATAAGATGACAGAACAGGGTCTCGCAAGTGAGAATCTCAGGAATTTAATATCAGGTGATGACTCAGGAGCAAAAGCTGGTGATGCCAATAAACTAGCAGATGGACTTCTCCACAGTGTGTACGGTTCTAAGCTGAGAAAACCAATTGATAAAATAATTGCAGACCATGGACTCTACACACCGTTCTCCATGAATAACAATCCTATGTACATCCTCACACTCCCGCAATCAGATGAAATTATGACTGCCCAAGGAGGTGAAACTAATGGTAATTATAAACTTGATAATCTTGAGTTAGAATATGAGACCATTGAGAATGACGCCCTAGCAGGTGAAGTATCAAGGATGTATTCAACGGGCCGCTCGCTGTCCTAGAAGCATGTAACTCTTATGCGTACAAGTAATTGGGACAAGGATCTTACCATTGTCAATGAAAACATTAATATCCCCAGAAAGAGCATGTCAGCAATTGTCCTTCTATTTACAAGTAGAGCGAGAACTGATTCTGAAGAATATATTTATCCAAACATTGATAAAGTGAACCTGACCATTGAGGGTGTGCCTAATGCAGTTTTCTCCCAAGGACTTCACAAAAATAGGTTCTTCGAAGAGGCAAAAAGATTTTTCTGCCCTATGTGTGAGAAATCCATGGCAGATGAATTTATGTTCATCAGCAAGTTCTTCACCAGTGGTTTCGCTCTAGTAATCGATCTTAGGTCAACACAAGATGATACCACAGGAGGAGGCAAAAAGATTGTTAACACACAGTCGGGAGTACTCCTGGAAATCAAGAAGAGAGCCACAACAGCTGACGTTCAGTGCAACATTTTTGTTGTATCAGATGCCCTCCTTAACTTTGCCAATAGAGATTTATCAAGTATTCAATACTAATGGTAAAGCATAGAGATGCAACCATTCAACATGCTCATAGTAGGAATGACAGGAAGTGGAAAGACTCAGTTCCTACTTAAATATGTTAGAAACAGAGTACAATAGAGTTTTCGATTACATTGTCATTATATGTCCAACAATAGAGTGGAATATGACTTACATTAATTGGACCCATATTAGTGACCATGGAGTTATACAAATTCCATGCTCACAAGAAATGATCAATCTTGTTCTCAAGGCAGTGTCCACCATATTCCGCGGTACTCAGACTCTCATTATAGTGGACGATTGTGCGGCAAGTCAAGATGTAAAGAAAAGAGTCTCAGAATTGGTGCGCCTAGTTTCTCCGCAAGACATTACAACTTATCCGTTATTGTAATTACCCAACAACTGTCATCAGTAGCAAAGCCATTCAGGGAGAACATTTCCAGGCTAGTTACATTCTACAACCCTAGTCGCAGGGATATGAAGGTCATAACAGATGATTACCTAAGTGGTGTTCCTCAGGAGACAATTACAGAGATTACGAAGATATTAAAAGATGAGAAGTTCACCGCACTGGATATACTACTTATTCACCCTTACACATACACTGTTAAACTAAACACCGCGTAGAATATAGAAGATGGGAACTGAATCTGATGAAGAAATATTTGAGGCTGTAAGAGAAGTAGAGGAGGCCGCAAAGGCGCCGCAAAAGAAAGCTAAGTCTACCGCAAGAAAAACTAAGCCCACCGCAGATAAGTCGCAAACTGAAAGCAAGAGAGACAAACTTATAGAGCTATCGAGGGATGGTATAATAGAGAAGTCCGCAAGTTTTATAAGAAAGTCCAACAAGGATGTTGTAGATAGACTATACCAAGAGTATGAAAGTCAGAGGATGTCATGCGCAAGTGACTTCTTATTAACGCTTATAATTTCAAAGTTTGCTTCTATACTGGGGAGTTTCGGTGCAGTGGCATCTTCAGAGAAACTGTCAGAGCAACTACTTGGTGACAAGCTTCTAAAGGACGACGTAGCATATCTAACCAGAACGATATCCCCGAACATTCCATTTATAGGTCTCATATCAGGTGGCTGTACAACAGCTAAGCATGTAGTTGCCCATAAGTGGAATAAGAAGGAGGAGTCTGAGGAAATATCTGAGGAAGCTAAACATCTCCTATTACATACAGAATGTCACACTACGAGTGGGGAAACGCTTGGGAAGGAACAGAGTTCGAAGACATAATTAACAAACTGATTGAGAAAACCGACAGGAACAAGAAGAAGCTAGATAAGATCCAAAAAACGCTGGACGCAATAGAGGGAGACCTATACTCGCTTAAGGATAAAATAATAGGTCCACTACAACACGACTTTCAAACATTTAAGGCTGATACAATTAAAACAGTTGTAAATGTATACAAGAAGCTACATGAAATGTAATATTTTATTTGCAAAAGGAAGTACATAATAGTGGTAAACAGTTGGGTGGGAAGAGGGAATACTGCTTCATAAATCAATATAAAAATAGCCTAAAAATTTTTTACATATATAGTATAGGGGAAAGATGGAAAAACTATTCAGGAACCAAAAGTTGAATGTTGGTGTAAGAACTGTGAGGTGGCGTGAGGAGGTACTGTTCTATGCAAAAGATGTAGCAGAATCTCTAGGGTACGCTATCCAAAAAAGGCGATTCAGAAGTTAGTTAGGAAACAAAATAAGGTAAGCGTATATGAGTTACGCAAGGGGGGCGATTCGCCCCTCTTCGAGAAATGTCACCCACAGACAATTTTGCTGTACGAACCTGGTTTGTACCAACTAATATGTAGCTCAAGGCTTCCAATAGCAGAGGACTTCCAGGACTGGGTATTCAAGGAAGTCCTTCCATCTATCCGCAAAACGGGCTCATATGAATTACCGGATAGAAGGTCACTCAGATATAACCAGATGATTCTTATAAATGAAACAGACCTTCATCATACTATTGTGAGTTACATCAGAGATAACCACCCCACAGCTGTAATAATACCTGGCCTAGGTGAGTATCAGGACACTGTGGCAAAAAGATGTGACGCCTGGAAGAAGGGATATAAAGGTGGCCAGCCTGATCTTATTATAGAGAATCCTATGGGAAAGTATAAAGGATTCGCCATTGAATTTAAGTCTCCTAAGGGCACTGGGATTACAAGTGAGAAGCAGGGAGTATGGCTTGAAAGACTGAGGGAAATAGGATACGCAACAATGATATCGGACGACCTAGTGAAAACTTGTATTAGAATTAACGAGTACTTCTCACTCAAAAAAGTGAGAAGAAAAGCTGCAGTGAAAAATATAGTTTGCGATGTAAAGCTGTACAGGCCAAGGTTCAAATCAGGCAAGTACTAGTTTAGTGGCAAGTAATTTTGAGACATCTTACAAGTAGATTTAAGTTATCTCACCAGTAGATTTAAGTTATCTTGCAAGTAGATTTGGGACATCTCACCAGTAAATTTAAGTTATCTTGTAAGTAGAATTAAAGATATCTCATAAGACGAAACCCAGTTAAACCTAAGGTATCTTACAAGTAGAATGGAAGATAAACCTGAGCAAATTCAAGTACCAGTAACAAGCGAAAGGAAGAAGGACCCAAAGAGAGTAGCTGCAGGAAAACGATTGGCTGCAATCAGTAAAATAGCAAAGGAGAGAAAAAAGAAACTGGCTGAACCTGAGGAGTCATCTAGTAATGACAGTATGATTACGTACATAGGAGTGGCCATTGCATTGATATCTCTTGTGCTAGTATATAAGTCGCATCAGAGGGAAACAAGGGAACTGGAACCTAAGTACATCCCTGAAACCGTAGAAGTAACTAGGAAAGCTGATGAGTCCAGGTTAGATTCACTTGAATGATGCATTAAACATACTATATATTATAACAAGATGAGTAAAGAATCAAAGATGACTATGGAAGTGTACAACGCAGTGTTACTTACAGCAGGAGCAGTTGGTATATCAATGGCATCGAAGAAGTTACTGAAAGAACCATTGGGTACCCCGGAGAATGTAAAAGGAATGGCTAAGTTAGCTATTTCAGTTAGTCTTTCATCTCTACTGGTCTCTTACTTGAAAGAAAAGAAGTATTTACCAGATGATCCATTCAAAACCTAGGTAAGACTATACAATGGCGGGAGCAGTAGCAGGAGGACTTTTTAATGCATTTGCATTTGCGGGAGCAGGATACCTATTTAAAATGTTTGACAAGAATGGATATGCTAAGGAAGCTCATAGACATAACCTTGCAATGGAGAACCTAACAGCTGAAAGAGAGAAGTACCTTGAGGAAGTCACTGATAGAAGAAATAGAATTGCCCAACTAAATTCAGAACTAGCTGAAGCAAATAGGGATATTAATTCAACGAATAAGTCATTAGAACTCGTTAGAAGAATCAATGAGTTAACACGTAAGGCTATGCCAAGAAAGCCGCAGTTGAGCAATCACTACAAACCTAGCTCCGAGATGGAAGAATATATGGCAATCTTTGGTTTAATCACAGGTGGGGTGGTTGGAGGGGCATCTTATTTAATGCTATAAAAAATACCGTAAAAATTTTCACATATATAGTATATAGAAATGGATTGGCTTCAAATGGTAACACCTGAGGAAGTGGTGGCTCTAGGAAAAAGAGTGGACACTATAGAAGAGTTAGAAGCCGCAGTTAAAAAGTATGTGGAACTAAGAATAATAAGCAGACGTTTAAATACACCACGAAAACCGGCAAGAAATTTTTACACTAATAGTATAGGGAAATGGAATGGTTAATAATGGCAACGCCTGAGGAGATAGTACGTGTAGGTAAAAAGGCAAATACAATGGAAGAGTTAGAGGCTGCTGTAAGGAAGTACGTAGAGGGTAGAATAAAGATAAAACATACATATGATCCAGTATGTAGCGAATGTGGTAGTAAGTCTATTGTAATAATAGATGGAGCAGATACATGCACACAGTGTGGTACTAGTGATATGAATAACTTTACATACTATGTTAGTTACAACCACAACAAGGATGACTACCTGAAAAAGAAGTCTTGTCATAATAGAGTCCGTTGGTTTGAGAGACACTTGTTCGAACATGTTGCTTCTAGGGATAGGGACACCATAAGGGAGCAGTTTAGAAGCATCGTAAGATGTATACAAAGACTTAGACTGCAAAGGGGGCGCAACATAGTTAGATACAAGTTTTACCTACTGAGGATAGCCAGCATGAATGGTATTACCTTAAGAAACCCTCCCGAGGACATTAAGACTCAGAGAATTGTGAACATACTCGAGAACAGGTTGTATGGAAAAGTTTTTGTTGATCTTGGATGGAAACCTGAGAAATGTAAATATTATGATAACTGGAAAGTTAGGAATACTTAAAGAAATATTAATATAATAAATTAATTAAAATACTTAAAGAAATATTAATATAATAAATTAATTAAAATACTTAAAGAAATATCAATATAATAAATTAAATTAAATACTTGAAGAAATATTAATATAATAAATGAATTAAAATACTTAAAGAAATATTAATATAATAAATTAATTAAAATACTTAAAGAAATATTAATATAATAAATTAATTAAAATACTTAAAGAAATATTAATATAATAAACTAAATAAAATACTAGTACAATAAATTAAAATAAAATAATAAATTATTAAAACAAATTACCAAAATAAATTAATCAAATAAATCAACAATTAAATAGCCCGATTTATTTTTACATATATTATATAGAGTAACAGTGAAAAATGGCGAGTTATTCTGACATGAACGAATTCAGCGTAGAACAGCTTATGGCCCTCAACAGCATCATTGACAGCGACAACGAGATCGATGAAAGAGTAGAGAACATCATGGAGGACAAATCATACAGGATTGCACCTAGTGATAAGGGCAAAGATCCCTTTGAAGGAGAAAGACAATTTGTGGATGAAGTTGACCGTGATATGGAGGTAAAGAAACCAAGACGTCTTCCCTTGAACTATAAGGGTAAAAGAGGGATTATGCCAACATGGAAGTACTCTGAGAGGCAAAAGGCTAAGGCCTTACTTGTAGAGGAGGCATACCAGAATTTACTGAAGAGAGGAGTTGAGGGATTACCACCGACAATGGGAGGTAGATGGCGCACAGATGATCCTCAGGTGAATGCGGAAATTAGGAGAATCGAAAATGAGAGGAATCCTAAGCGTCCCAGAGGTAGACCACCAAAGCCTAAAACTGAGGATAAAGTTAAGGTTCCTAAAAGGAGAGGTAGACCACCAAAGCCCAAAATAGATGCCGAGGTTAAGGTTCCAAAAAGAAGAGGTAGACCACCAAAGCCTAAGGTTGATGTTAAACAACAAAAGCCTAAGGTTAAGAGGCAAACTGTTGCGGAAAGATTCCTGGAGCAAAAGAAGATAAAACTCTCAGTGCCTGCGAACAGTATTATAACTCCGACAGGTCCGGGTAAGTTTACGATCAGTGTGGATCTTAATAAGAAACCCACAAGGAAAGCTCCTGAACTACCTAAGGGTGTAGCTCCATGGAAACCGACACCTAAACCTAGAACTATACTTCCTCCTAGGGAAAGACCTGTACCGAAACCTAGGACTAAGCTTCCTAGGGAAAGACCTGTACCGAAACCTAGGACTAGGAAACCAGTGTCTCCCCCTAAGTTACGTAAGCCAGTAAGAGTGTCGAGGGAAGTCAAGGAGCAGCCTGTAGTGGTCACACCAGAGGAACATGAAATCGATCCATTTGGAACAGACCTTGAAAAGCCATTCCATAGGAAAATCGAAACAGCCGCAAATGGAGCCGCCGTGACTTACTCGATAACTCCTCATCATATGGACCCCCTGAACCAGATGACTGCAAGTAGACAGGTAGTGAGAGGAATACTTGTGAACGAATTGAAGAGAATGGGAGGGTTGAAGTACACGGAGACAATAAAGGTGAGAATGTCGAAGGAGATAGGTAACGGTAAGACAAAGAAGGACTCAATCTACTTCAAGTCTAAAACTGGCACAGCAACTAACTTCGAGGACATTGAAAGTACAGCTGCTCAAAACCAACTAACAATTTTGTCTAGAATTGAAACCTTTCAAAACTTAGATTCAAATTGGATTATACTCAATATTGAGAGCCATTACGTAAACATTGCAATGTACAAACCTCTGAAGGGTAGTTCGTATATGAAACTTCCTGAAGACATTAGTAATTCAAAGTGCGGGCTCATCAATATGAGGAACAACGATAATATGTGTTTTCTGTGGAGTCATGTGAGACATTTAAATCCTAAGACTATAAAAGCAACTACCATTACACGGAAGGATAGGGCGTTCGTAGACAACCTAGATTATAGTGGTATAGAGTTCCCTGTGAAGATAAGTGACATTGATAAAATTGAGAGGAAAAACAGTATAAACATATCAGTGTTCGGTTATAAGGGCAAAAAGCAGTTCTATCTTATAAGAAACTCCAAAGCTAAATATGATGAGCATATGGAGCTTCTACTTCTAGGTGACGGTAACGGTAACGATAACAACCACTATGTGCTCATAAGGGATGTAAACAGAATGCTCTTTAGCGTAAGTGGATACACTCATAAGAAACACTTCTGTTTACACTGTCTTCATAGTTGTGTGAGTGAAAAGGCACTGGAAAAACATAAGGAGACGTGTATCGAGGTAAATGGAACTGAGTCTGTAAAGCTCCCCAAGGAAGGTACTAAAATAAAGTTCAAAAATCATAGGAACTCGATGCCTGTACCGTTTGTAATATATGCAGATTTTGAGTCCATACTGGTACCTGAGGAGAGAAAAGTGGAGTCGGAAGACCCTGAGGACAAAAGTAGTACAAACCTTTACCAGACACACAAGGCTTGCAGTTTTGGTTTAAAGACTGTCTGCCATTATGACGACAAGTACTCTGGTGAGTATAAGAGTTACGTTGGTGAGGATGCTGCAATGGTATTCCTGAAGACTGTGTTAATTGAGTCATTAAGATGTAGAGAAATGGTGAACAAAATATTCAAGAAAAAGATGGTAATTACACCTGAACAAGAAGCTGAATTCTGGAAGGCAAGAAACTGTTCAATATGTGGTAACGACCTTGGTGAGGACAGAGTAAGAGACCATGATCACGTAACAGGACTGTACCGTGGAGCTGCTCATAATATGTGCAACCTAAAGTACAGAATTACATGGAAAGTGCCTGTGGTCTTCCACAATCTGAGAGGTTACGATAGTCATCTAATTATGCAGGAAATTGGTAAGTTCAAGATGAACATTAACGTGATCCCAAATAATATGGAAAAATATATTTCCTTCTCACTTGGTAAGAATCTTGTCTTCATAGACTCTATACAGTTTATGGCTTCTTCACTGGAGGCACTGGTGAGTAACCTTTCACCTGAGGACTTTAAAATAGTAGGTGAGAGGTGGAAGGGTGAGGACTTCGATTTAGTAACACAAAAAGGCGTCTTTCCATATGAATTTCTGGATGACATTAGTAAACTCAATACAGAGGGTCTTCCAAGTAGAAATAAGTTTTACTCATCACTGTATGAGTCAGAGGTGAAGGAAGAAGATTACCAAAGAGCTAGGAAAGTATGGGATCACTTTGGGATGAAAACCATGAGAGACTACCACGATCTCTACCTGGAGACTGACGTTCTTCTGTTAGCTGATGTATTTGAAAACTTCAGGAGAACTTGTCTGGAAAATTACAAACTTGACCCTGCACATTACATGTCAGCACCTAGTCTAAGTTGGGACGCTTTCCTAAAACAGTCAGGTGAGGAAATAGAACTCGTAAGTGATATGGACATGTTTCAATTCTTTGAGAAGGGAATGAGAGGTGGTATAAGTCATATTGCTCACAGACACTCAACAGCCAATAATAAGTACATGGAAACGTACGATGAGTCGTCTGAAAACAAGTACCTTATGTACCTCGACGCTAACAATTTATATGGCTGGGCGATGTCACAACCACTACCTAATGGAGAGTTTGAGTGGGTTGAGGAAGTTGATGGAATGAATCTAGATGATTACCTTGGAGACAATGAAAGAGGGATGGTTTTAGAGGTTGACCTGGAATATCCCAAAGAACTTCACGATTTACATAACGGTTATCCTCTAGCACCAGAGAGTAAAGAAATTGATTCTTCTATGTTGTCAAGTTATGCGAAGAGTATTGCTGAGAAATTCCAGCTGACAATTGGAGGAGTAAGAAAACTGGTAAACTCACTTGGTCCCAGGAAGAACTACGTCTTACATGTACGTAATCTGAAACTCTATACAGACCTTGGAATGAAACTCACAAAGGTTCACAGAGCAGTCACATTCAAACAGTCTCCTTGGCTTAAAAACTACATTGACTTTAACACGAAGAAACGGTCAGTTGCTCGTAACACGTTCGAAAAGAACTTCTTCAAGCTGATGAATAATTCGATTTACGGAAAGACTATGGAAAATTTAAGGAAACGAGTTGATGTAAAATTAGTGTCCTCAAAAGACGACCTCCTAAAACTGACAGCATCACCGTGCTTCCAGTCACATCGAATCATGAACGAGAACCTAATAGTTGTAAAAAGAATTAAGGAAGTTCTGACTCTAAACAAACCGTGTTATGTGGGAATGAGCATCTTAGACGTATCTAAGACTCTAATGTATGATTTCCATTACAACACCATCAAGAAGGAGTACGGTAACAGGTCAAGGCTACTGTTCACAGATACTGACAGCCTTATGTACGAAATAAAGACTGATGATGTCTACGAGGACTTCAGGAGGATCGGTGAAGAGCAAGACTGCTGGGATAATTCTGATTACCCAAAAAGTTCTCCGTACTACTCAACTCACAACAAGAAGGTCATAGGTAAGTTTAAGGACGAAGCTGAAGGAGTACCCATAATTGAGTTTGTTGGGTTGAGGTCGAAGATGTACTCATACGTGAAGGAAAACGGTGGAGGTGGAATGACCGCTAAGGGAGTCAAAAAGTATGTCATCAGAAATAAGCTCACTCATGAGAACTTCAAGAATGTGATTAAGACGAAAGGTAGGATGAGACATAATATGAACACAATCAGGAGCATCAAGCATACAATTGGGACTTATGAAATGAGGAAGGTCACTCTAAGTTGCTTTGATGATAAAAGGTATATCTTGGAGGATGGAGTTACCAGTTATGCTTACGGACACTACCTGACAATGAAGGAAGCAGTCAAATGTAAAGTTGAACCTGTAAATGAACTTATTAGAGTTGGAAGGCTACCCGGAGAATTTACCCAAGAGGAAGCAGATCACATGATAATAGAAAGGGTAAAAAATAAGTGTAGAAAATTATGCCCCCTTCGAAGAACCCTGGCGGATCTTACACTAACTAGAAACAATAGGGACATATTACCACGTGAAGCTGAAGATTACATAAAAACTCTAGTAAACGCGGCTATGGCATATGGAAGGTAGTTGTTCAAGCGTTGATTGAAAGGTTTTTATAGAAGGTGTGTGTATCCTCAAGAGTGAAACAAAAGATGTTAAAAAGGCTTTAGAATAGAGGAATTGAATGAGATTGGTGGAGTTGAAATTTGAAGATGTGAGAGAAGTAAATCGTTTTAGTTTAGTTGGAAAATCTAGCGCTAGAAAAACCAATGTGGTCTAGAAAATAAAATCATGATTAAAAAATTCAGATTGAGACGGTGGGATTTCGGTTCACGGAAAAACCATAGAAAGTCGAGGGTCGTCGACACGCTAGTTGCTATACTACTAAGAGTGCTGTCTTATTTGTGATAAGTGTTTAGATGATGGTGTCGTCACCCATATTACCACAGGAAAGGTGAGAGACATCCCAAACGAATGTATTGAACAATTTTATACGGAAGCTAAGAGAATTATTGACACACATATTTATAATGCTGAACATTCTAGTTACCTTATGAATTATGGCAATGCTGATAGTAGTGATCAAGTGAAAAAGATCATGGAGGGGGTATGCTTTATTGAAAGCGAAAAAGACTTACTTCACAATTATGATATCTGGGATGAAAACTGTTCAAAAGCTTTATTTGAACTAATTACAAAACTTGCACCAAATATTTGAAGGTAAATGGAATATTAATTTAACGGAACTTTACTTTGAGTTATTTGATACACATCTGTTAGCTAATAAACTAGACCCCTTAATTAACTATATATTTCATGAACATCAAGTCAATAGAATTAGAATAAGACAAAACTTAAAAATTCTATCAAATTAATAAATTTAAAAGTCCTATTTACATATTCACAACAATATATTTACATAGAATTACTAAGGGTTGGCCAGACCAGACTACAGGTGTGTATATAGTTACCATTCAGGGGGGGGGGATATCTCAATGCCATGGAGGAAAAATGACCCTAAAGAGGTAGAGGACTGAAAGACGGAAAGAGCAAGGAAGGAGGGAAAGAAAGAGGGCAAAAAGGTGTATTCCATGAAAAATTTTGATGGTAGATTTGCAAAACTTTTGTAGATGGTAGATGGGGGGGGGGGGTCATCAAGTTTCCAGAAAACATTAACCATCCTGGTAATTATATACACCCCTGCAAGGCCACTGTACATAAATTTGTAAATATATGTACATACAAGGTATATGTGTCAACCAAAATGCTTTCATTTTCAAATCCAATCACATCTGTTTCAATGGTGGAACAAAGGTTTCTGTTTTATATATAATATATAAACACTGACAGAAAAGAATTAAAGCAATTCTTGTATTTCCAGTTTAGTTTTGAACTGATTGACAAGTCTCTCTTTCTAACTCTGCCCCTCCAAACTACATCATGTAATGTACACTATAGTTGATCAATATGACAATGAAAGAGAGACTTGCATCAAGTCTAATTTGCATATGATGTCACACATGACTAGCTTTGAAACTGGCAGCCATCTTGCAAATTGGTAACTATTTAACTCTTTTAAAATCATTAAATGTCTATTGAAATGTTCAAAGATTTGAGAACAACAACATTATATCAAAAAATTCTAGCAATTAGTAATTAATAATTATTAATAATTATTAATTGTTAATTAATTCTATTTTTTGTTAAAAAATGGTGGAAGTCGCAAGTTGTCTAATTACCATTTTGAGAACAATCTGCTTGGATTGACTTTTAGCGATTGTTCTTCCAAACATACTAAAATTCAACTTGCACTTTATTTGCTTGTTGTATAAAGTGGTTCCACTTTACCTAACAAATTTTTTTAATGGGTCTTGCGTTTGTTGCAATATCTTCAATCTCTGAAGTGAAACAATAACGAGGTTGACACACATTCTTAAACTGTTACCTGTGAGGGTGTTTTACTGTGAGAGTTGACTCTTGTGCAGATCTAACCACTGATGAAAATCCACAATATTTAACTTCAGTAGTGGGGATCTTTGGATTTGTGGAAATGACTCATGTGATCGTCCATCAATGTGTGTGAAAGGATCCAATTTTATAAGGTCTGCAATCATTTCTTTCTCTTCTTTTAGGCAATCTCTGCCAGTATGCTGGACTGAAGACTTGTGTATGTTCAATCCTTGGTCATAAGACTGAAGAACTTCAGTCATTCCACTTACAGACTTGGTCAACCTGCTGATGGACTCAATGGTTTTGTTTGGTCCCATTCGTTGTACCATGTTCTTACTTAGTTTGTTGGTTATTTCCTGTACCAAATCATCTTCTAAATTATGGCCATAACCACCTCTCCAATTTGTAAAGAATCCCCACTTGAATTCTGCTGATAGGCGCGGTGTAAGTAAACATTCCATTTGTGCAATGCTCACAAACATCTCAATTGCATACTTACTGTATGTCCCCAAAGATTTGAAAATGAGTAACAGCAACTTTTGGTTAACGAGGTTGCGATCTCCATCCGCTTCAGCTGCGGTATCTTTAAGCTGCAAAAGGACAACTGCGAAGAAGATACATGACATTCCATAGTTCATAACATAGTCCTCTTTGTCATGATTTGCCGCATTGAATTGTTTTTGTAAGAAGAATGTGTCAATAAATCCTCCAAGTGCTTCATCAAAGTACTTCTGCATTGCTTCGATGGTGTCACAAATTAAATTGTCAGGAAAGACATGAACTGTTGGTTTGTCATTTAGTTCTGACATACCAAAATATTTCAAAGCAGCTACAACTATGTAAGCCCGTCCCATACTGAGGAATAATTCTTCGCTCCCTTCATAGCAATCCAGTACCTTTTTTGGCGTTGCATTTTGCCTGTTGTATTTCTCTCTGAAGTACTTTAGTGTACCAACTTGACTTACAGAATGAGGATTGTGCAGATATGTGTAACAGTATTGGAGGAAAGAAGCTTTGGTATGCCACATAACCGGCTTGAATGGTGAACAATGTTCAAACCTGTCACTTGGTGTATGTGAGCCAGCTAATAGGTCTTTAGCTCCCGCAAATCGTACACGAGTAAGCTGATCGCCACCAAAGACTACTTTCATATCTTTCATCGGATCATCACTTGAATGACATGTGTGGGACCTAGTCTGACCTTGTGCAGCTGGACCTACAGTAATAAATATAAATTCATAGGATTCATTTGATGTGACCAAAAATCAACATGACACATTGCTAGTTTGTCTTGCTGATTTCGGGTTATGCTGCCACATTCGCATGACCTTTACTGATAACAGTTACTATTGTGATTGTATGAAGGCAATTTAGCCAAAAGTTTAGGGTGGATTTTAGCTCAGACATACTGAATATCAGGCCAGTCATATTATTCAGCTTAAATCAAAAGCAACAATAAACGGCTGTTTTATCGGCTATATAAAAAGCCTTACTGTAATCAGTAATTAAAATGAAGATTAGTTTGTTCTTTTGCCGAAAGTGACTGGGCAAAGTAAGAATTTGACCACACAACTCCACATTCTGGCCGGACATTGTCCATTGGCTGACTGTTATTTTGGTCCCTGGCTGAAATGGTGAATAACCTCAAATTATTGGTGGCTTTCATTATAGGTGTTATATATAGCAAATTGAGTGGGGGTCAACCTGAAATGTATCAATTAACGATCATGTTGTACTGGAGTGAGCAAATGACACAGAATTGCACATATTTGCTGCCAAACAAAAAAAGGCCAAGACATTATACAGTGAACAAATAATTCACTCATATCATGACTGTGTCTCAAGTTGACCCCCATTCAAATATATGAAACCCAAGAGTACAAAATAATTAAAATCATAGCCAGAACTTGTTGCAAAACCTTTTCAACTTGAGTAAAATGATTTTAGTAAAAAAAATAGGAACTAAATACGTAGTAACGAATGTGAAATTTACTGAACTTTACTTCACAAAATGTAGCTAAGTGTGTATGCATCGGCTATTTGTTTTGGCTTAGGCTCAGTTGTGTTATGGGCTTAGGCTCAGTATGGTAGTGTTAAATGTGATCATGCATGCATGTTGCACTATTTACTCTAGGCATGTAAAATTTGTTTCACTTCTATGTGTGTATATAAAACACACACAGAAGTGAAACAAATTCTATGTGGTTTTCATGTATATATATTGAGAAGTTCAAAAAGGAAGGAATTTTTCATCGGCATTTTTTACATTTATATAGTATTCCCACATAGATAATTAATTGGTTTTGTTACCCATGCTATTACTGTTTCAGTTTTGAACGTATAAAGGAACACTTTAGTTATGCATTGTATGTTTGGTTTAACCAAAAAACACTGCAACTGAAACAAATAAGAAAAACTATTTTTTTAACCTACCATCAGGTAAAGGTGGGTTATCGCATTCAGGAAGTTTCTCCAGCAAACCCGCTTCGTGATATATTTCAGCGATCCACTTCTCGTAAGTACGTAAGATCTTCACACAATCTCCGTAATTCGCCTCGTTCGCATCGATTATTGGCATAGGGACGACGAAAGATTTCTTTGACATTTCTTCGCTATATTGATGCTGAATATGAGCCGGTATGACTTTCTTTAGAAAGCTGAATGTAGGGAAAAATTCGACGAGAACCCGTGCAACAAGGATCTTTGCAGTTTCAGCAAATTTCTTCCATTCATGAACATTTAAATGAAACTTAGATCTTGGACAAGATTTAATGTCACCGAGCGGACTATCATTCGGAAGGTGTTGAAAGTTAACACGATTCTCAATCAGATTTGATGCGAAAAGATGTAGGTCTTCATTGTGAACCTCTTTTCTCATCTGACCCTTTGATAATATAATAAAAATGTTTTAATATTAAATATTTTAAAATCAATGGCCATCTGCGTTATATTTATAGACTAAATTTTGATCTAGACAAAAGTTTCATCACATCTTGAAAGAGCATCACAAAATTAGTAATATCCCAAAGTTTCGTTGCGAAATGTTGTAAAATGCGGATAATATAGCCTTGCTAAATTTGCAATTTTCAGTCCTTTTAGATTACAAACGGGAAATTGATGCCCCAACACCCGATTGGGCTGTCAATTTCCCGTGCGTAATACCAAATGACTGAAAAACGGCAAACTTCGCAAGGCTATATTATATGAAATATAGGCTTTGGAATATTACTAATTTTGTGATGCTCTTTCAAGCTGTGATAAAATTTTCGTCTAGACCAAAATTTAGTCTATAATGCAAATGGTCCATTGTTATTAAATATTGATGTCACGCTTAATAGCGAAACTTGTAGTAACCATTCCAAATTAAAGTTTGCAATATAAACGAACGTTAATTTTACTGTCGCGAGGCTTATACATATTAAAATGGTTTTAAAAACATTAAATTTAAAAACTAATATGTATTTAATCTTGTAGACACGTTATAGCGTTGTTCGTTCAGGTAGTTATTAAGAAATACCTATGGCTATGCACTTGCGTATTACCTTCAAAATTCTTATGTCCCAGTTATCTCCCGTACCACGAAAAGTCTTCCCACTCTTAAGCTTCTCCACTGTCTTGTCAAGGAAATGACCACCCAGTAACGTGAGTAAAGTAGTGCGTCTGCTATGGGACAGGCAAACACCAAGCTTATTCAGGCGATGTTGTAACTAGAAGAGAAACCTTTTATTACAAATTATAATTGACAACAATGTTGCAAATTATGGCAATGCACTACTTTAATAAGCCTAGTTTGTATTTGGTCTTTATGTTGATACTCTATTTATACATCAGCCATATTACTGTAAATTATACAGATGAAGGAAAAAGTAAGAATAAAGAGCGCATAATGGCTGAATTTTACAGTTTCTTAATACCTAAATTTGTCGTGTTTTATAAGAAGGGAAACTGATTAGCATCTCAAATGATTTTGTTTATGCAGACTCGTGCAGCTAATTATGACAACCTAATTGAGACCTATGGCTCTGTTCATACTCTGTTAAAAAGTTTTTACCTGTTAAAAACAAACACGACCAAAACAAACAAATAAGACAATAGATGCACCTGACATTGCAAGCTGACTCGGCTGCGTGAATTTTGGAATGATTTTCAAATTTCATGCACACATAAATAAAACACACTTTTACTTTGCTTTTCGCCTTTATATTAGTTGACTGTTTAGGAAATTAAATTAAAATAAACCGTATAGACATCACTGTGCTATTACAACCTGAATATATTAAGCTGTACACTTGTCACTTGTGTTGATTTCAATGGTCTTTGCATATAGCATATAGTCACGTGCACGTAGTTGTATATATGACAGAACTATATACAATCAATTTTCTGTAGTATACGTTTGGTAAAGTTAAGGCCAAGTAGATATCCATGAACATTGTATCATTTTGAAAAGTGAAACGTAAACACATATTAATAAAAAATTTACCTGTTTTGAGCAGCCACCTTCAATTAAGCAAAGCGTGTTCAATCGCTGAATCAGACTTAGTTCATGCCAACGTACATTCATTAGAATGGAATATAGAAACCCGTACTTTGCTCGTAGGTCTTGCTTCGCTTTACATCCTTCAACACCAGTGATTGCATTTAGAATCTCCATGACAAATGGGATATTGGTCTCCATTTCTTCCCACAACTTTTCAAACGAGAAGTTTATCATCATGCCGCATGAGTCTTGTCGTCCAGCGTGTAAAATAGAGCCTTTGTTTCTAAGGCAAAGGTTTTTGCAAGACGCATTTATATCATCAGTGATTTTTCTCTTCACCTCTCTAACTACGTTGGGACAATATTTCATAATTATATACGCGAGGACAGAGGCGTCTTCTGTTCGTGCAGCTGCTGTTATTTTCTCTATCTGACGTGCAGTAATCAGGGTCGAAGACGGGATTACAGTTGAGTTTGCGGTCGATGAAAAATCGAGCCTGCTTCTTACACTGCGAGTCGAAGTCGTAGTTGACTGAGCTATGTCTAGATGTATTGTACTGGGGCCAGGCACGTCCATCTCTGGTTCTTCTATACTCTCATCATCTTGTGACATTGATTGCCGTTTCGCCGGTTTTTTGTTTGAAATGTTGGGCGATTGCACAGGACATCTTTTCACAGTTACCTGCTCCTTTAAGTCGGTTTGTGCTTGTTGACATTGGCCTATGAATACATGGATTTTTTTAACGAAGGTTATGCATTTATTGCATACAGCCGTGGGAAGACCGTCCGATCTTTGTATAAAAATTCCACACGATTCGGATATTATTTTAACCAGAAACTTCTGTACTGCTGCTACCGATAAAACGTTTGTCATGCGCCGGCTTTCCGTTTCACATCCACATAATCTGCAGCATCCTTTATGTTTCTGTTTTAAATAAACTTTTCTAGGTGTAGATTGTGTACTGTTGTTCTCCATCGAAATACTGTATTGTACGCTCCTGGCTAATTGAATTTATAATATGCATATTTCGCATGTCGATTTCATGTATAATTATTATAATTATGCTATTTTAGTAAAAGGGATTTGACCAATGGGTGATAAGAACACCGCAGCCGATGCCAGGGCCTTCTCCAGCTCAAAGGCCCTGGGGACGAGGTTGCCTTAGGCGACACTTTTTTATGCCGAGCAGGTCCTCCAGTTATTATACAGCTCAGTAGGGTACAAATTCCGTGGGTGCTATTTACACCCGAGGAAAGGGAAACATTAGCGAAGTCAACATTAGGGAAAGGGAAGCATTAGGGAAGTCATTAGCTAAAGTTCAACAATGATCACGGGCGTGGGTGACCATCCATGGGTGGTCATCCTCACTGAACTCCAAAATATGGCTGTTTGCCAGGAGTGGGATAAGCAAGATTTCAATTTTCAAAAGCATATATTTGGAAAATCACGTTTCACACAATAAGCTTTGAAGCAATTTTTGTTTGAAGAAATGAGAAGAATTGATTTACTGTGGGAAATCGTGAAATATAGGGCAAGTTTAATTTGAATGTTTAATGTTTATGAATTTTGTTGCTTTAATTTATTGCGTAAAACTTGCACTAGTACTGCTTTCCTTTTCAATGAAGCTGTATTAAAGTTTTCAAGTCCGTAATGTAAACTGTATGATCTACTACATAAAGTAATTGCGGGCGCAGACGTAAGTTGTTGTTTTCGCGCCAAAGAAAAAGAAGGACAAGATATTTTAGTGATGGGCGATACCAGAATTTTTAATTCGATACGGTATTTCAATTTTCGATATCGGAAGTGAGTACTTTAAAAAAAATTGATTGCTAGTATCGGCTACTTTCGATACCTGCCGGTCAGCGGAAAAACATTTTACATTTAACAAATATAAAACATTTTCCGTGTTGATATGCAGTTATATCAGTCAACACGAGTGGAAATTGGGAAAACGAGAAATTGTGTGTATAAGTAAATCAAAAGCCCAAAACGCAATAAATAATTTCTATACATGACTTGGCGCATCACATTTGGAATATTAAGACTTAGTTTAGTGGTTCATTAAGCCTTATTCAACCAAGAAGTGAAATTAAACAAGTCGATTAAAAAAGGGTGCAAGTATCGAACGATACCACGTCAGTAATCGATACCGATACCGCTGTTTGTGATATCGCCGGTATCGAATACCGAGTATTCGGTATCGCCCATCACTAAGATATTTCTGTAAGTTAACGTGAACCGTAATAATCTTGGTTAAAAGCTCGGTTACAAGAAACGTTGTCTGTACTGGTCAGAATCCTGTACTGGTGGGTGGAGAAGCATTGCCTGTAGTTGAGAGTGCAAAAATATTGGGTCTTGTTATGACAGGCACACTTCAGTGGAAAGATAACATCAGAGAGAGTATAAAGAAAGCTAATAAACGCCTCTATTTTATAGTATTATTGAAACGGGCAGGCGTAAATGTCAAAGATGTTTTGAACTTTTATTGTACAGTGATCAGGCCTGTGCTCGAGTATTGTGCGCAAGCCTTCCATCATTCCATCCCAAAATATTTGGCAGACGAACTTGAGACTGTCCAGAAACGTGTGCTAAAAATTTTATCTCCTGAAATGACATATTGTGAGGCCCTTGAGTATTATAGACTGCTTACTCTATTTCAAAGAAGAGAGGACATGTGTGACAAACTCTTTACGAGTATCATCAAGGATCCAATGCATAAACTTCATCATCTGCTGCCCCCGAAGAACGAGACTGATTATTCTTTCAGGACGAATCGGTATTTTAATATGTACGTTACACGCACGAACCGCTTTTATAACTCTTTCATCCCTGCTATGTGTAGGAAGTTTGTAGGATAGATTTTATGCTTATTTTAATCGAATTTTGATCGTGGGTGGGTTTTATATATGTATTAATAATATATTTATATGTAGTGCATGTGATAATATGTAATCCACGCAATTCAGCTTCTGGCTGCAATGTGGTTTCAATTTAATAATAATAATAATAATAATAATAATAATATATTAAGTGTTAAATTTAAAATTAAACACGAAAAAATATTGTGATAGTAATTTACATAAAGACGTCACAATGACTTGTAAGTATTCGATTGGTCACTTAGTCTTAGATTTCGTCTAAGGAGCATATTTAACACCTCAATTGTTGACTTGTAGTTGTATAGCGAATCTCTCGTGTGTACCTTTGAACGGACGTGTGAATAAAGTTTGTGACGAACCAAAGTATTTTGAAGCTTACATAAACAATTCCTCTGTTTACATTTTGAACTGCTATATTTCTAAAATAAGACATACTAACTGAATATCTAACACTTTTCTGGTTCCTATTGTAAATGAATATAAACTAAAGTAAGTTTCAATTCAAAAAAGTTCGAAAGATGGGCAATGTTCAGTTCAGTGGGTCCCCCTTTGTTCACTGGCGTAACGTTATATCAAAGGGCCCCCGGTTCAAAATTTTCGAAGGCCCCCCTAGTAGAAGTGCCAAAGGCACGAGTCGAGCGCCGTATATGCACGAGTTTTCTAGGGGGTCCAGGGCATGGTCATCCGGAAAATTTTTTAATCTAGACTCTCTGAAATGCCATTTCCTGGACTTTGGGGAGAGATTTTAAAGAATTCTGATGGTCATAAAACGACATTGTAACATAGCAGAGGCCCTGGCCAATGTTTTGCCCTATCGCCTAAGCCTGGGGGCCCCCTTTTGGGTTGGGGGCCCCCGGGTTCCCCCGGTCTGAGCCCATAGTAGTTACGCCACTGCCTTTGTTATGAGCAGAACTGATGCGCAGAACGGTCTTGACATGGTCTCAAAGAAAAAAAGGTAAAATGTAAAGGAGAGCAAATTAATTTGAAAACTAACAGAAATTAACTGAAATTACTCAACAATTTGAACTTATTTTGTTTTATTAAGTAAAATTAAAACAGTTTATCGGAAAATGAAAGCATTTTATAGTTATTAAAATGAACATTTCAAAACATTTTACGAAGCGATTCAGGTTAAATCTTACATTAAATCAAAGCTCACAAAATGCAGAACAACATATCTACAGTACATATTTCGGAAATTCATTGTTTATGTATAGTTAAAAGCAGTAATCTTTCAACTATTTTTGCCGTGTTGTACAAAAAATATAATAAAAATTAAAATCATCGTGTTGCCATGGCAACACTGACGTAAACGCGGGCCTGCGTTCAGTATTGATCAATTACTAATATTATTTCATGTTAAATCAATGTTTGGGAAATACAGGGGAGGGGATGCTGTGTGCATGTATTTCTAATTATCGCCGAGCCAACGGCGCGAAGCGCCGTTCCGAGCGTAAGCCGGGGACGAGGGTACTAATTCCGCCCGGCTATTTACACCCGGGGAAACGAAAGCATTACCGAAGGGTGATCGCTAGATAGTATACTTCAAAATGAGGTTTCCGTTTTTATAACGTAGAAAAAACTATCCTAACGCAAAACTAAACCCTAACCCTAATACTAACCCTCTCCCTAACCCTCACCTAACCCTAACCTAAACCCTAACCTAACGCTAACTTATTTTAATTATTTTAAAAATTGATATAAAAACGGAAACCTTATTTTGAAGTATACTATCTAGCAATTGCCATTACCGAAGTCTAAGGTTCATCAATGATCGTGGGCGTGGGTGACCAACGGTGTTGAGTGGGTGGTCATCCTCACTGACCTCAAAATATGTGGCGGACTGTCATGAATAGCGAACACTGATCGATTGGTCAAATTTAAAATTTGTTGCTGTATGACAAATGAGGACAGCAAAATAACAAACATTTCTTGCAAATCAGCAAATATATTGTATTTTTGCAAGATTTTGCAAATCTCAAGACCTTTTTGAGAGCGAAGAACTGTCTAAAAACGTCTAAAAGGATGGAGCAAAGTCGCCAACGTTAATGAAGGTGAGATTGTTTTTAATATTGATGTATTGTTTGCTTTATAATTGCTTTAAAAACTGATACGATCGTTGCGTATATAAGTGAAAAACGACAGCATACTGTATAATTGCAGTGTATTTTTATTAATTCCCCTTTTTTTGTATATTACAATATTTATAAGAGGAAAGCAAACTCAAAGTTATTTTCATGCAACAATTTGAAATCAGTTTATTTCAATATTCAAACTCAATATTTACCGATAAAAGGCAGTTTAGTTTTAAGAACATTTTAAAACGTTTACCAAGCGTTTGTGCTTGAATTTTACATTAAATTGAGGCTTCTGTTACTCATAATAACATACCTAGCATATATATGTATGGGAAATTGATCATTTTGTAATTAAAAGTGATATTTTGGGGAGATTTTTCAATTTTAAAACTATTCTTAAAGTTATCTGGAGGTAAGTCACAAATTTTGCAAATAAGTTCGGTGACCCATCTTAGGATGTAGATAAAAATTTCAAAGCCCTTCTAATCTTACAAAACATTTTCATAACCCACCCAATCTACATTGGGAAAATACATTTTTATAATGAACATTGTAAATATACACGGCACTGTATTGACATAAATAATTCCACCAAGCTTGACCAACACATTGATACTGAGCTGTTCTCCAGTTGGTTGTATTTGCTGTGATTCGACCACTTCTTGTTGTTGTTTAAACAAACGGTACTGGCTTCAATAGCATCATTTGCATTTGATAATTTGGACAGTTTTGTTTACTTTTATTATTAGTATCTTTATTTTTTGAAGTAGACATGCATGGGTTTTTGTTCGGTGGCCCAACCGTGAGCATACAAAAAAATTGGCGGCCCATCCCAATGGCCCAAAGATTTTCCATGGCCCATCCCAAATCACTCCAGCCCACCCTAACAGTTTCTTTATGACCGGTCCCTTACCATGACCATACTTCATGTTTGTCTCGATCTTCTGGCTTTATTTCGATTTGCAGGAATGCCTTTTCAATGTCTGCAGTTAGTGCGATCGGGTAATATCGAAATTTT